CGCAGGGCATGCCTGGATCAGACTCATGCACCTGCCCACATGGGAGCCCTGGGCTGGGCTTCATGGCACTGCCCGCTGCTTCACACAAAAGGTAGGGGCTAGGGTGCCTGCCTGGCAGGGCTAGGCCACAAATCAGAGAAGGGGATGGGCCATGCAGGGCTAGGCTATGGCACTAACCAGCATGTGACAAAACCAGGTTTGGGGGCACATTCTGTAGGGGATATGTATAATACTCACTGGTTTGCATGAGAGCTGGGGTTGGTGAAGGGCAGAGCTAGGCATGATCGTGAAACTAACCAACACTCACAGCTGACCAAGGCTGCAGCACTGGCAAGCACAACCAAGAAATGGGGCCTGGGGCCAGGCTGGGCTGTAGCAGCCACCAGCACACACGCAGGATGGGGACAGACTATACTGCACATGGCCCTTGCACCTGCCAGCATGAGTAAGCTCTAGGTCTGGGAGCAGGCCTGGTAGCAAAACTTGGGGACCCTGCTACTAGACCACAATTACCACTGGTGAGCATAAGCGGGGTCTGGGGGTGAGCCAGGCTGGGCCAGGCCAAGCCTTAGCACCCAGTGGCACATGTGTGAGCCTGGACGGGGTATAGACCACACTGGGCTGGGCAACTTCACCCACTGGCTCAAATGAGAGCTGAGGATTGGAGCAGGATGGGCAGGGCTAGGCCACAGTACCTATCAGCGAGAACTGGGACTGAGGGCAGGCTGCAGATCCATCAAGTGCTAAGACTTTGGACACGCCACGCCAGGTGGGCTCGGAGCACCACTGGCATGTGCAAGATCAGGAGCAGGGGAGCAGACCTGGTAGGGAAACTAAGGGCACACCCTTACTAGACGGCAGTTCCGACGGGTAAGTGTGAGAGCCAGGGCTTGGAGTGGACTGGGCTGCACATGGTGGCAGCACACATGTGGGCAACAAAACCAACAACTTCTCAAAACTATCAAAACCACTCTGGGATCCTGTACCCGCATGGGAGACATGGAGGAGGCGCCTGGCTTCAGATCGGCTTAGTTCCAGCTGTTGCAACCGCTTAGGGAATGAACCAGTAGATGGAAGATCTTTCTCTCTGCCTTTCATTCGCTCTGTAAATCTGCCTTTCCAATAAAAATAAATTTAAATCTTAAAAAAAAAAAGCAAACAAGTAATACCCTTGGAACATTCTTCCCTATGTCGGGGTCCCTAGGATGACATCAAATGACAGGCACTTATCCCCGGGTGCTGGTATGGTTTGGCAGCAAGAAACAGCCCCCTTCCCTTACCGTCCCACTCCAGATACAGAAGAAAAGGAAAAAATTACATATGATTGTCCCACCCTCCTTCTTCCGTGCCTTGACCCGCTCCACCTAGTCAAAGGCCCACACGGGCAAATATCCTCTGCCACTATGTAAACAACATTCAAAACAGAATGCAATAAAATAAATGCATTAAAAAGAAGTTCTTGGGGCCCGGCGCGGTGGCGCAAGTGGTTAAGTCCTCGCCTTGCACGCCCGGGATCCCATATGGGCGCCGGTTCTAATCCCGGCAGCCCCGCTTCCCTTCCAGCTCCCTGCCTGTGGCCTGGGAAAGCAGTTGAGGACGGCCCAAAGCTTTGGGACCCTGCACCCACGTGGGAGACCCAGAAGAGGCTCCTGGCTTCGGATCGGCATAGTATCGGCCCGTTGCGGCTCACTTGGGGAGTGAATCATCGGACGGAAGATCTTCCTCTCTGTCTCTCCTCTCTGTATATCCGCCTTTCCAATGAAAAAAAAAATAATAAAAATAAATCTTAAAAAAAAAAAAAAAAAAAAAAAAGAAGAAGTTCTTGGCTTCTTGTTTCGGAGTAGTCCAGCCCTGGCAGCTGTGACCACCTGGAGAATGAACCAGCGGAAGGAGGAGCTTCCTCTCTCTACTCTGCAACTCTGTGATTCAAATAAATAATTAAATCTTTTTGAAAAATGTATACTTAATGAGCAGCTCCCTGGCGTGCCAGGCGCAGTGCTAGCAAGGCTGGAGACTCAGCGGGCCCAGAATCCGAGCAGGAAATCAGCCATGACATGTACAGTGGCAGAGCCAATTACTCATGATCATGTTAAACACCATGAAGAATAAGCACAGTACCAACAAGATAAGGCAGGTAACAGGGTCTAAGCCTGCAGGGTTAAACATTTCTCACAACAGTGCTATTTTTCCTTTTCTCAAAGCTTCAGGACATTGGTCTTTTTATTTATTTTTTTTAAATTTTTATTTCTTTCAAAGACACAGTGATGGGCCTAGATGATGGTTCAATGGCTAAATCCTCACCTTGCAAGCATCAGGATCCCATATACGTGCTGGTTTGTTCCCAGCTGCTCCACTTCCCATCCAGCTCCCTGCTTGTGGCCTGGAAAAGCAGTCGAGGACGGCCCAAAGCCTTGGGACCCTGCACCCATGTGGGAGATCCCGAAGAAGCTCCTGGCTTCAGATTGGCTCAGACCCAGCCATTTCGGCCACTAGGGGAGTGAACCAGTAAATGAAAGATCTTTCTCTCTTTTCTTCTTTGCAATAAAAATAAATAAATCTTTTTTAAAAAATAAATAGGGCCCGGTGTGGTGGCCTAATGGCTAAAGTCCTCGTCTTGAACACACTGGGATCCCATATGGGCACCTGTTCTAATTCCACCAGATGGAGGCTCTTTGTCTCTCCTTCTCTCTGTAAATCTGTCCAACAACAACAACAAAAAAATAAATCTTTTAAATATGATTTATTTATTTGGAAGACAGAGACACATCTCCCAGCTGCAGATGTCTGTAACAGCCAGAGTTGGTCCAGGCAGGAGCCAGGGGCTCATCCCAGGTAACTGGGCCATCGTCCACAGGCTTCGGGAGCAGCTGGGACTTGAAGTGGCCCTCCAGCATGGCATGTAGGCATCTGCAGCGGCAGCTTGCTTCCTGGCATCGCAGCACCTGCTCCTGCCACAGTCTCCAACAGAACCAGATACCTCTCATCCAGATAGAATTTCTCCACAAAACTGTCCCCTTCCCTCCACAGGAATGTTCTAGAAATATAGAACTGAACTGTGGTTTTGAAAATGGTTATATTTATTTGTTTTCCTCTATTTGACAAGGAGAGAGGGAGGAAGGTCCTGCCAGTGTGTATTCACTCCCAAACGGCCACAACAGTCAGAGCTGGTTGAGGCTGAAGTCACTGGCTCAGGGCCTCCCACGGGACTGACAGGGGCCAAGGGACACAGGTCAGCACCACTTGCTTTCCAGATGGGATCTGAAGCAGACGCAGGACAGGAATTGAGGCACGCTGGCATCCCACATGGTGTCTGTTTTTTGTAAGATTTGTTTATTTGAAAGGCAGAGTTATGGAGAGAGAGGGAGAGCGAGATCTCCCATCCCCTCTTAATGGCCACAGTGGCTGGGGCTGGGGCTGGGCCAGGGCAAAGTGAGGGTCCCCCAGGTCCCTGGGCCATTCTCACCGCCTTCCTAGGCACACAGGCAGAATCTCCATAGGCAAAGAAAAACAACGAGGACTTGAAACGGTGCCCACACATGGGATGCCAACGTCACTGGCAACAGCTTAACCTGCCAGCCAACATTCCTGAGAGGAACAGAGACCACATCTCGCCAGCCCTTGAGATCCACCGTCTCCAGCGCCTTGCCTGCACCCCTGGGTGCGACCGTCCCACACGGCTTCTGCTCCCCCAAGGCAGGAGACTGAAGCAAGCGCTTTCACAACCATCACCTCCTTCGCTCCTCCACATCTCCCTCCTTGACGGGTGCCACTTTACACGTCACACGCCAGGAAGGCAACGGCGGTGCTGAGATTCAGACCACATGGGATGGTCTTTCTAGAACCTTCCATAGACATTAACTACTCCTCCAGATCCAAGAGCACCACTCCAAGGAATCCTTCCCAGCCTCTAGTATGAACTTCTGCACAAAAACGTGGAAAATGGAATTAAAGATAAGTAAGCGCATAGTATTTTGAAACCCACCTACATAAGCAATCTTCAAAAAGTCGACGGAAAACGTGTATGACAAAAGACATGTATGAAACATGTCTCAATTACATGTTTCATGCTCAATTACATACTTTCACAGGTTTTTTTCTTTTTTAAGTCTGTGGTACGCGTCAGCAACGGCACCTAGTGTTGGGACTACTGAAGTGACCAGGGCAAGAGGCATTAACCTTTAGGTCTAGTTCAGAAAAACGGTCCTGCGGGGACATTTTCCTAGCAATAGGGATGCTAAGTGTCTTACAGAAGACACAAGAGTGACACGAGGGAAACCACGCGTCTGGTTTGCGGGCGCTGCTCACGCAAGCGGACACCAAGCCGGGTCTTCGGTCGGCGCTCAGCGACACACCCCTCTCCACCAACCTAAGCCGGGAAACGCCGAAAAAGAAAAAAAGAAAAAGAAAAGCGTACTTTGTCTTTTGAGAGGCCGCTCCCACGGTGCCAATCCGGGATGCCAGACGGACGAAAATGGACAGTTCCAGGACACCGATGCCGCCGCCATGAGAGGACGCCGCGGGGCCTCCCGGCCGCCAGGGGGCGCTGCGGCCCGCGCCCTGCGCACAGCGGGCACCGCTCAGGTGCCGACGCCTCGGGGAAGGCGCTGGAACGCCCTGAGGCCCTCGGGAATCGCGGGGGTCACTGGGCTTCTCAAGGAGAGGGCGTCCTGAACCCTCCACAAACCCCCCACGACTAACAGAAACCCGCGTTCCCTCAGGGAAAGCCCGTTTCCGGCGTCTCTCAACAGGAAGTCCCGCTATGTCCAATCCTGGCCCTTCTTCCGCGCTCGGCGCCCTGGCTGCCAATCAGCGCCAGGAACGGGCGCCGGCGTCGCCAGTGACCTTTGCTCCGGAACCGCCCACTTCTCCGCCCCGCCCTCGCTGCGAAGATGGCGCTCTCCAGGGTGTCAGGCGCTCGAGCCGTTCTGTGGAGTTCGCTCGTCACCCGGAGGCTGCAGCTTGGTCCCTCCGGCCTGGCGTGGGGAGCCCCTCGGTGAGGGAGCGGGAGAAGCGCCCTGGCGTCCAGGCCCTGGCAGCGGCTCCCCCTTCGTGCATGCTTGGTTGTCAGGGGGTCCCAGGCGCTGACTCCGGGGTCTGTCACCTCCATTCCGGCTGGAGACCTGACTTCCCGGCCCTCGGGCCCCGCGTTCTGCTCTCTGGTCATCTGAGTCCGCTTGCTTGTCTCGCGCCCCCGAGGTTCCTCCTCGGTCTCGGGAGTTTTCTCTGAGTCTGTCGGAGAGCCCAGGCATGAGGGGGCTGCTCGGACTGGTTCTCAGGCTCTTGTCTTCCTCGTAGGTCTTCCCAGCTCCACCTCTCTCCAAAGGCCGACGTGAAGAGCCTCATCTCTTACGTGGTAGCCAAGACGAAAGCGATGAATGGAAAGTACCATCGTTTCTTGGGTCGTCATTTCCCCCGCTTCTATGTCCTGTATACCGTCTTCATGAAAGGTAAACCCAGCAATGGAACGAGCAGCTTCAGGGGGTTGGCACGTTCAGCCAGGAGGATGTGAGCGAGCTAGACTGGCTTCCGTGTCCTCAGAGCCTGTATCATGCCAATTCGTGCGCATTAGAAACCTGAGGATGTCTCTGGAAAGATGTTCTAGAGGATGGAGGATGTACCGCACTGAAGCAGGGGTTATGGCCAATGGAGACCTGCCCTGTGACTTGGTCCATACCAAGGGGTAGTCGGGCACAGTCCACAAATCTATCTCAGGTAGCATGTTTTCTTTTGTTTGTTTGTTTGTTTTTAGCAGAAATGGCACTCATTGGTGTCTGAATTGTTGGGGTGCTAATGGAGTTATAAGGACATAATATAGATAATGCCGTGTGTCCCCCTTGGGGATCCAGGGTGCCTGCATCCAGTCTCAGCCTGTCGCTGGCTTGTGCCTGGGCTCACACCTCTATGTCCACTGGCTTCCTGAAAATCTGTAATAGCACCCATGGAGCACATGATTGTAAAGATTAGATAAGTCAGCGTCTTGAGTATCTTGAAAATTTTCATGGAAAATGTATAACATGAAACAACTGTACATGGATGTCAACAATTTTGTGCCGAATCAAGCGTCTTAATTCCATTTTTCCATGAACTGTTTGACATACTCTAGAATTGGGCCTCATCTAACAGTGAGTTCACGTTAACTGTTAGTGGTTGGCTTAGTCTGTGCTTTTATTGTGACACCAATTATGCAATGCCACACTAGTCACCTGGGAAAACCGTTGTCATGATTGCTGGCTTCATGGACATGGAAAATTATTTATTCTTCCCTGGAGAGATAGGAAACGTTGTTTTGTCTACTCTCAGGCTTATCACATAAGAAAAAGGTTTGAAAGCATTTTGACTTGAAATTTTTTGCTGAAAATTTGTATACGTAAAAATAAAATGGTATAATTCACTTACATGTACTCAATCTCACGTCACCATTATTTACTCAGAACAGCCACTCGTGCGCCACTTATTATGCTAGGTTTAAGTGTAGGAATTTCCACAGGCCAATGATTTGAAACACAGTTACAAAAGTATGTTGAATTATGTTGTCTGTAAAAGTGATCCAGTCTGACTGGGTGATGTATGGGCTGATTGAGCGAGACTTCCTGATGTTAGCAAGCTCAGTTCCGAAAGAAAGATGAAAGAGTGAGTGAATCGCAGCCTGGCTTGAAGAGGGGGGCTGGACTAGAGAGGAAAGGCTGGAGTTAACCTCCTGGGGGGTTCGGGTTACCCGCTAGAAACCTGGGCTGCAGCATGGTTGTGGGGAGTGGACATGTGTGTGGATCAGTGAACATGGGGTAGGAAGCTGTGATCGGCTTCACGCGGGATAACCTCACACTCTGCTTGAACGAGGCAGGATTGCAGCTGGTGTGTGCTGATGCCAAGAAGGCCAGAAGAATAAAGACAAACATGTGGAAACACAACGTAAAGTTTCATCAACTTCCATACCGGGAGATGGAGCACTTGAGACAGGTACGGGCTGCAGGCTCACTGCCAGACGCTCGCAGTCAGTCACAGTGAGCCAACATCTCAAGCTTTTGTCCTTTCCTTTCTTGTTCACCATTGATCAAGCTGTCACTTTTTGCCGTAAGATCAAAATATTGAGCAGCATGAAGGCATGAGACGATCCGTCAGCAATGGCTTCATCCAGACTTAAGCCCTCCATAGGTACATTGTCTAAATAAACATCGTAAACGCTAACATCCAGTTCATTTCTGGACAGACACAAATGCAAAAAGGTCCAACAGGGCCCTAGAGGAAGTACTGTTTGGTGGTGACTTGATGGGTAGTCTTGAACCTGAACAAAAATCTAGGATTCCTTCAAATTAGGAAGAATCCGCCAAGGGAGTAGGTATAATGTCAGTCCCCGTATCAGGTCATATTTGGGATATAAAAGTTGGAGTAGCTGTTGAGTTTGGTGGTTAGCTGCTGCCTGAGATGCCTGTGAGCTACAGCAGAGTCCGTGGGTTGGAGTTCTGTCGCCACTGCTGATGACAACTCCCTGCTAACAGCTGCCAGGCGGCAGATAATGGCTTCAGCCCTAGGCACCTACCCACCCGAGTGGGAGACACACGTGGAGTTCCAGTTGCTGGATTTGGCTGTCACAGGCATTGGGCAAATGACCCAGCGGATGAAAGGTATCTACCTTTCAGCTAAGTAACTTTTTTAATAAATAAATATTTATTTATTTACTTATTTTTATTGGAAAGGCAGATGTACAGAGAGGAGGAGAGACAGAGAGGAAGATCTTCCGTCTGATGATTCGCTCCCCAAGTGTCCGCAGCGGCTGATGCTGCGCTGATATGAAGCCGAGAGCCAGGAGGTCTTCCGGGTCTCCCACATGGGTGCAGCATCCCAAGGCTGTAGGCCATCCTCAACTGCTTTCCCAGGCCACAGGCAGGGAGCTGGATGGGAAGTGGGGCTGCTGGGATTAGAACCAGCGCCCATATGGGATCCCTGCACGTTCAAGGCAAGGACTTTAACCGCCACACTATCACGCCGGGCCCTATAAATAAATATTTTTAGACAAGATTTATTTATTTTTTTTAAAGATTTATTTATTTTTATTGAATAGGCGGATATACAGAGAGGAGGAGAGACAGAGAGGAAGATCTTCCATCCGATGGTTCATTCCCCAAGGGCCACAATGGCTGGAGCTGAGCCAGTCTGAAGCCAAGGAGCTCTTCCAGGTCTCCCACATGGGTGCAGGGTCCCAAGGCTTTGGGCTGTCTTTGACTGCTTTCCCAGGCCACAAGCAGGGAGCTGATTGGGAAGCAAGGCTGCCGGGATTAGAACTGGCGCCCATATGGGATCCTGGCGCATGCAAGGCGAGGACTTTAACCACTGCACTATCGCACCAGGCCCAATTTATTTTTTCTTTTATTGTAAAGTCAGATATACAGAAAGGAGGAGAGACAGAGAGGAAGATCTTCTGTCCAATGATTTACTCCCAAGTGGCCACAATGGCTGGAGCTGAGCTAATATGAAGCCGAGACCTCTTTCCGGATCTCCCACGTGGGTACAGGGTCTCAAGACTTGGGGCTGTCCTCTACTGCTTTCCCAGGCCACAAGTAGGAGGCTGGAAGAGATCCCAGTGCATGCAAGGCGAGGACTTTAGCTGCTAGGCTATTGTGCTGGACTCGCTAAAGAAATTTTTGTAAAATTTAAGCAAATGTGTTGGAGGTTCTGCCCTTAGGGATGTTGTTGTGTGGAAGTAGACAGGCGTAAACCTTGTCCCACGTGTGAGCTGTACTAGAAGTTTCCTGTACAGTGGGGTGGAGGGGATTGTCCAACGTATCAAGAACTTGCACGGGTTAAACTGCGTCTGTTTATTTCTGTGTAGTTTCGTCGAGACGTCACCAAGTGTCTTTTCCTAGGTATCATTTCCATCCCGCCCTTTGCCAACTACCTGGTCTTCTTGCTCATGTGAGTACAGACTTGTCCCCCGCCAGCATCCTTGAAGACATGCAGGTGTTTTAAACTAGAAATTATCTTGAAAAGAACTTTGCACTGAGGCAGTGAGGCAGAGGATACGAAGATTCCGGGTCCGGTCTTCTCATGATCTGAGGCGTCAGTGAGCCAGACCTGCCTTATCACACGGCTTAGCTGCCCTGGGTGACACAAAACAAGACAGGGACCCTCTCCCACATCCCTGGAAGACAGCGACCTGCTCCTTGAGATGTGGGACAGATTCCGCCCTGTTTGGGAAAAAGATGCATTTTATATTCCCACAGTCTATAACTTCATAAGCAGAAATGGCACTTCTGGTGGCCTTGCACATCATTGATGACATTGCAGTTATCCATGGCTGTGTAGCACAACCCCAAAACTTGAAAGCTCGGAGCAGGACTCTCATGATGTCTTGGGTGGGACTCGAGGGGTGATTGTTCTCTTCCATGAGATGCTCCCAGAGGTCCCCCAGTGGTATTTCAGCTACTTAGTGGTCTTGTCCAGAGGGTCCAACATCACACTGCCTCGGTAGGGATTCCTGGAAAACCAGAACTGTCAACCAGAGTCCCCACAAGAGACTGCTTCCGTGTGGTGGCCCCAGGGTGGCGGGGCTTCTTCCGCAGCAGCTCAGGGCTCTCTGTGAGTGCTCCAGCGATGTGTCGGGATGGCCTTTTGTAACCTCGTCACAGAGGTCACCTGCGTGTGGCTCTGCTCTGTCCCATTAGCTGAGTCAGTCACCCAATTAGGCAGAAGAGTGTAGAGGGCCAAGCCTCCCTGCTCCGTAAGAGGAGCACCCGAGGACGCCTGGCCTTGTCTGCAAAGCCCTGTGCGCCTGGAGGGGTGTGGTAGCGTGAGGCCCGTGCTGCCTCGCGGGTGGCACCCGGTTCTGTGTCCAGCTGTGTCCCAAGTGTGTTTCTCACATCCTGTCATCTGGTTGCTGCACGCTTCCCTGCACGTGACGTCTCAGCAGCGTGGACTGACACTGTGCTTCAGCATGTCTTTAAGCTTTGCTCTGAGACGCATAAGAACGGAAACCTTGACTTATGGAAATAGTGGCTCTGTCTCTGCTTCCTCACTGTGTCTGCCAGTTGCTTGCTTGGCTCCCTCTGAAAGCTGGCAGTTTCAGCAAGCGACTTTGGGGTCCTTTCTCCTTGCAGGTACCTGTTTCCTAGGCAACTACTGATCCGGCATTTCTGGACCCCAAAACAGCAGATTGAGTTCTTAGATGTGTATCATGCTCTGCGCAAGCAGTCCTACCCAGCGGTCATTGGCAGTTTAGAAAAGGCCATCCCTCATATTTCTGATGGAGGACTCCAGTGGCAGCTAACAGACCTGTGCAACAAGGTACTCCTTGCCTCAGTCCCTCTGCGAAGCTGGGCGCCTCCTTACATTCTGTGTGCTCCTACACCAGGTAAGAGAGCTAGTCAGGACCCTCCTAATGTCTGTCAAACTCTGGTGCCTCCTAAGATCCAGCGTGGCACGCACCCCGCAGCCCAGGAGCTCCTAGCCTTGAGACAGTGTTTCTGTAGCCGCCCCCTGGACATGAACCAACTCCAGACTCCACAAATGGTAAGCACCTTGAGGCCAGGTCTCTTCCACAACCCTCCTCTTATCTTGGGGTCTCTGCTTGGGGGCAGTCCTGTCTAACCTTCCCCTCCCGTTTTGTGGCATCACAGAAGGCCTTGAGCCGAGCCATGCTCCTCACATCTTACCTGCCCCCTCCTCTGTTGAGGCGCCGTCTGAAGGCACACACCACTGTCATCCACCAGCTGGACAAGGCTTTGGCAAAGCTGGGGATTGGCCAGCTGACTGCACAGGAAGTGAAATCGGTGAGCATTCGATGGCGACAGCTCAGCCCTGAGCAGGCTACTGCACTCATGACAGGCCAGGAGCCTCAGGGTCTCCCGGAGTTGCCTGTGATGTCCAAACACAAGCTCTGTGCTTCCCTATTCTAAAATTAGTGGGTAGAAGCTGCCCACATCACTCTCACTGGCTCAGGGGCAGGGGGAGCAGTTTCCTGTGGGGATGACATTGCCCCTTAGCTAAAGGAGACAGGATTGTATGTGCATCCCCGCCTTCTTTTCTGAGCGCACTAGGCTTGTTACCTTCGTGGCCTGAATTCTACCCACATTGCTGAAGACAGGTGTCGGACGTGGCTGGGAGAATGGCTACAAATTTCCTGCCAACTGGAAGGTAAGGAAAATTTCCATTGTTACTGGATTATTTTGGAGTTAACTGTTGAGTATGTGAGGCCCCTTATCAAGTACAGCTGCCTAATTGAAAGAAGGCCAACTTGCAGGACTGGGCAGAGTACATCTCTACCCACCGGATGCCAGGAGTGCCCCTTCACCCCCCAGGGGTGGCAACCAAAAGTGTCTGCAGATGTTCTGGAGTTGGGGATGGAGGCACTGGCCTGAAGGCATTCTGATTTAAAGCAAGGTTCTGTTGCCCAGAGGAAATGGATCCTAGGTGGGAATCAGGGCTGGTGGCCTCCTATTGGGAACCTTCTGCGCCTCTGGGTATCAGGACAGGCCTAATAACCTTGACCCTGAAGCATCCCAAGAGAACCCATTTCTACCAGAAAAAAATCCCAATCGTGAGAATGCAGAAACAAGCAAACGAATTGATATGAATAGGAAGTGGAAGGGAAGCAAAGCAGGCATGCAGTGGGCAGTGGGCGGTTAGGCCACAGCAGCCTCTTCGTGTCCCACCTCCCTGCACACGCCGCCTGTGCAAGACAGATTGCTAACAGTGACGGTGTTTCCAGAAGCCGAGCTGTCCCTCCTGCTGCACAGCGTGGTCCTGCTTTCCACCAACTACCTTGAGACGAGACACTGAGAGAACCATGGACTGGATGGTGTCGCCCTGCAGTTGATAGTTAATCGTGTGGGACCAAACAGCACTTATCGGCAAAGGGTCTGTGCAATTAAGTGTGTGGGAGGAGGAGTTGCCGTGGGCTTCACAGCCCGTCCCCGTGTGGGAACGTTGTCAGACATTCCCTCACAGCCAGAACGGAAACCAACTCTTCCCAGGGGTGGTCCATGCAAGGTGCCAGCTGACCTCCCGCAGTCAGCAGTCTGTGCCAGCTCACTGTGAGGTGGGCAGTCAGTGCTTGCCCAGGTGGGGCTCCTCACTTGGGATGGCCTCCGTGCACTGCCATGCTGTGGACAGCCGTGTTTTTCTGTGAAAGAATCTGTCTGGTGAGCACTGGAGTACCTGCACCCACACACAGCCTTCAGCACTCCCCTCCGTCCTTTCTATGACCAAAAGAGGGATTTTTTTTGATCCCTCTCACTGGCATGAGCTAACTACTTCCTTTCCTTCTTAAGTTCTTTGAACATCTTCTTTTCTTCAGTGATTAACATATGGGAACATTCTAACGGAAGAGAAAAGGGAAATGCTTCTTGGCACCTTCCCACCCGAGCAGTCTTAACCCGTGGGCTATCCTACAGCCTGCCCGATCTTCAACTCTTGCTACCTCTGACTGTAACCTGCAGTGGGCTGCCGTGCTCAGGCCACTGGTCACTCTTAAGGTACTAATCCCGCCCAGTCTGGGGCGACTGGGAGGGTCTGCACAGAGCTCGTCAGTGGGGTTTGGTTTGTGTGTGTATACATCAGTGACGTGCAAGTCCCGTTTATTGTAAATGCATGAAAAAACTTGAGTAAAGACTCTCCAACCAGCTGGTGGTGATCCCCTATGCGTCTAGTAATCGCTCGTTTTGAGGCTCCTTTTCCAAGACTGACAGGTTCTGCCTGAAGGGACTGAATGAGTTGGAACAGAACCTTTGGATGGGATGGACGCTGACCTTGTTGCACATTTTAAGCTGTTAACTAGGCATTGGGAATTTCACACATATTTACAGTTAATAGAATGATATAGCAGGACCCAAGGGCCGGAACTGCGTAGACGGAGCCAAGCTCCTTCAGGCCTCCTCCAGCTGAAGCGGGACATGTGTGCACCCGCAAGTTCTGGGTGCACCAAAGAGAATGTTCCACTTTTCCACCACAAAATGTTGCTATTGTTAACATTAATTCCTAACTGACCTAATTAGTTTGACATACAACACTGGAGACGTGTCCTTTCTCTAACAAGTAACACAACTGTGGCCTGGCAAGATAAAGAACAGCACACCATTCTTTTGTATATTTCTTTAATATTACATTTAAATATTCTCTTTAAATACAGCATTATCACAATGTAAAGAACCTAAAAGGCAAAAAAAAAAAAAGTTTCCAGAGGAACAGACAAGCCTTGGATTCACATTGAAAACACGACCTGTGTATAGTGAAAGGAAACTGGAGAATGAGTCGCAGTGAAGAAGTCATTTCTTTATGTAGACCTAGGCTGAGCGGGACCGGAGCCATCTGCTTTCCTAGCAGCCATGAGCTAGACTTCTGTCCAACTCAGGTAGCACCAGATATGAGATGGACCAAGTGGCAGAAAAGGCCCTTAGCTTGACAGGACAGTTTATGCTAAATGTCATGATTTACCATTCGGAAGTCTGAGATCCGTGTGCATTCACGCTGTAGAGCTGACAAACAGACTGTGATGAAGGAAGCACAGCTTCTTAGCTAACAGGAGGGACTGGCAGGGGCTTACCAGAGTGGCAGCCCTGGTGCCATCCCAAAGACTGATGGACTTGCTGCTGAGCTGCCGGAATCCACGTGCTAGCTTAAACTGGAACCTTCCCGGGAGGAAACGGAGCTCTCTCCCCTTTCTATACCACATTTAAGACGTCGGTTTCCTCCCAAGACTAGGGCCTGTGCCCAGCTCCCAGGGTGCCAGTCTGAGGTGCAGAATGGTAGTTCATCTGGGCACGTCATGGCCTTCGGGCAGCTTTGTGAGACTAGGACTTGGGGAGAGGGAAGCATGCAGTGCTTCTTCAAGAACTCCTCTTCAAATAGAAAACCATGTCAAAGCAGGAATGCCAGGAAAGATGGGCAGGAAGTCCGCCTGTTCAGGACAAGGCCCTCTGGGCTCCAGCCTCAGGTGTTTGAGGTGAGGTGCTGCTGCAGCACACAGGGAGGCCACTCCCAGCCCCCCGGACCCTAACAGCCAGAGAAAAGGCTGGATGGGAAGCCGAGGGACGAGTAGTTCTATCAAAAAAGAAAGCCTTTTTTCTTCTGGTTAGTAAATCAGAGCAGAAGCCAAGTGTGGTACACAAAGGATGCTAGAAGGTAACGATGTTTTGCTTCCTTCTGCCTGCATTTTCAAACAGTCCAAGATAGCTTTGCTTCTGGAAGAAAATCGGAGGCGCTCAGCAGAGCAGGTCCTGGAATGGAAGCAGGATGGGAGGGACAGAAGTGGACCTGAGCCCCCTGGACCTGGGGTTGCTCGTGGCACTGGAGAATGGGTCTGGTTGCCAATTTCCCATCCAATGTGATAAACATCTATAGTTCTTGAGACACAACTGGAATTGTGTAAATAACCCTGTTTAGCCAAGGAGGACCCTAAAGGTAGACACGGGGGCGGAGGGAATAGTCCGTGGCCTTAGATCTCCTACATTCTACTGACACCCCAATCTTCAGGGACTGGAGGGGGTGAAGGGCAAGAGCAGGGTGAGGAAGCACGCATGACACGAAGTCATCCTCCCAGCGGCCTTCTCTCCTGTCGCCTCCCTCGGACAGTGCTTGGTGCTTGGTGCTCGGCTCCCAGGGCAGAGGTGAGCCCACGGACACCGCACCCCCAGCCAGCCTAGCTTTTCAAAGAAAAAGGATGACGGGAAAAGGAGAAAGAAGAAGAAAAAAAAGACAAGTTGAACTCTAGTACCTAAGAACAAATGAAAGAAACAATTCAAGTTACAGACCAGGAATCCCCAGTGTGGGGAGCAGGTCAGAGAACACCAAACAAGTCAAATATTAACTTATATACCAAACACGGAGCCGGGGAAGGCAGGCTACAGTTTCAGAAATCCGAGAGGATTTGTACAGAAGCACAGGCCCGCCTGCCCCCTCCTCTCTAGCTTCGGCCCCGAGGCACTGCCAGCTGCACCGTGGTGCGTGAACAGGCTAGCAGAGAAGAGAACGAGCATGCGCCCTGCCCGGAGCTCAGCCGAGGCGCTCTCCCAGGCCCTGCTGAGGAACAGCCACTGCAGGCACAGTTTCTCTGTGAGATCTTGTTCTTTGTCCCATTAGCCCAGAAAGCTCCACGTTGGCCACAGCGTGGCCTCCTTTGGCCCAAGACTCTAGGCCGGGGGGAACTGGGGTTGGTCTCCTTGGTACTGCTTCTCCTTTAAAAAATACTTATACAGACAATCCTTTCCCTCCCATTCCCCAAAGACCCCAATAAAATAACATGGGAGCAGCAGCTGCTTGTGCAGTTTTGCTTTGAAATGTCATTCGCTAAAATAAGGTAATAAATAGAGTGGGCAAGAGGCAGCGTCACCAGCTCCAGGTCACACAGCCAGGGGCAGTTCTACAGCAGCCTCTTCGGGGGGCCGGTCCTCGTTCGGCTGCGAGGGCTTCTCCAGCCCACAGGCTTCTTCATTGTCTGTGCGGAAGGGAAGGTTCGAGGGGGACCAGGAAGGGCGGAAGTCTTCGTTGCCAGGCTCTTCGGGGTTACACTCTTCGGGCAGCAGCGCATCTAGGGAGGCTGTCTTCCCCACCTCGGATCTGTGGAGGGCAGGTGGGTCTGGGGGGCCACAGGCCACCAGTGAGGTAACGGGGACGGAGAAGACACCCACGTCCTTCTCCTTGGGGAAGGAGGCTGGGCCTTCTGGACCAGGCTCTCCCTTCACTGCCAAGACCGGCCTCTGCTCCACCTGGTAATAGACCAGAGGCCCGCTGTTCAAGTACGACGGGTTGTTCACGTTCACCGGAGAGGCAGCTGAGTGGTCCGAGTTCTCAGCAAAACACAGGACAGAGGAGCCGGGGGGCAGCTGGGCCTGGATGAGGATGGGGGCCGTGAGGCCGGGGCACAGCTCTTCAGGAACGGCCAGCGGCTCCTCAAGGATGCACACGCCCAGGCTCTCGATGCTCGAGTCCAGGCTGGCGCTGGAGCCACTCGAGTCCTCCTCCTCCTTGAGCCGCTCCAGCTCCTCGGCGCTCTGCAGGTGCATCACCGCCGTCTCGTTCTCAGCGATGAACTCCTGGAAGTCCTGTGTCTCGGAGCCCGGGGCGCCCGTCACACTGCAGCCGGCCGCAGCGGGGGGCTCCTCGTCGGGGTCCGCAGGGCGGTTCACCTGCCGCTTGCTCTCCAGCTCCAGCTTCATGATGGTGTGAAGGTAGTGAGTCCGGACTCGGATCGGATTAAACTCAATGCGCCCAGCCATGTTCCCACAGCCATCCCGGGAGCAGCCGCACGGAAAGGACATGCGATCCACCTGACAGGACAAAGGGAGGTTGAAGCAAGATGAGACCCTCCCATCTAACACCACAAACAGCAGACACAGGCACTGGGGCTGAGGGCGTCCTCTAGCAGGGAAGCAACAATCTAAAACATGCCAAGTGAGCGGCCAGCGGCGCGACCATTACTGGATGCTCCCAGTGCTTCCTGCGCCAACTCAGCTAATTAGCAGGTGACCTTGTGTCAGTCACCTCACTCTCCCCAGGGCTCGTTTCCTCCAAAAACGAGATAAAAATTACATCAGAGGATCCTGCGGTAGAAAGGTACCTCTCTAGATGCTGGCAGTTCAGAGTAGAAGGAATCCATCTCAAGACTTTTCCAGAACCTACACGGGTCCCTGAGAACAAGGGGCTGGGCCGCAGCCTCTGCAGTGACCACGCAGGAAAGGGAGGGGCCAAAGCAATCCATTCCAGGGAAACGGAGCAAAGGTGCCCGAGATTGCTGAGGTACCAGAAGAAAGGATTACGGGGTCAGCTTTGCCCGGAGGGCCAGCCAGAGGGGTTCCAGAGCAGTTCCCAGGGTAACTAACATGCAGGCCAGAGACAGCTGAAAAGGAAGTGCCTTCTGCCTTCCTATCTCCTTTTCCTACCCCAAAAAGGAAAACACATTAAAAATGCAGGTCAGGAAATAAGCATGTACGAATGGGACTGACTGTGTTCCTACAATATCAACTAGGACGGGTCTCCCTCCCAGGTCCCACAAGGCTTAGGAGCGCCTCTGCTCTGTGTGCAACAGACTACAGCTGGAGAAGTATTAGCTGACCAAATCTGCTACAGCTGCGTGTCCCCTGGCTAAAAACAAGACAGAAATAGCTGGTTACGAAAAACGCAGCCTAGGGACTCGGCAGCCTCATCCTTCAGCGTCCAAAGTCCAGGCCAACTCTCCTCTTTGGGATAGCACTGCCATTTTCCATGGAAATGCATATTTTTATAGGCTTTGTATTGGATGATTTCTGTCCAATTGTAGGCTAATGTGAGTTTACATTATTTATGTATTTGAAAGAATTAGGGAGAGAGATCTTCCACTGTTTCATTCCCCAGATGGCCGCAATGGCCAGGGCTGGGACAGGCTGAAACCAGAACCCAGGAGCTTCTCCAAGGTCTCCACATGAGTGGCAGGAGGCCAAACCCTTGGGCTGTCTTGCTCTTCTTTTCTCAGGCCATTATCAGAGCAGCTGGGAGAGGAATCAATGCCCACAGGGATGCCAGAGTTGCAAGCAGCTGCTTTACCTGCTATGCCATAATGCTGGCCCTGCAAATGCATCTTTTAAACTGCCTCTAGTCTAAGCCTGCACAATGGTGAAATCGGCTGATCCTCCACTTGCAAGTGCCAGGATCCCATATGGGCGCCAATTCATTTCCCAGCTGCTCCACTTCCCATCCAGCTCCCTGCCTGTGGCCTGGGAAAGCAGTTGAGGACGGCCCAAAGCTTTGGGACCCTGCACCCGTGTGGGAGACCTGGAAGAGGCTCCTGGTGAACCAGTAGATGGAAGATCTTTGTTACTCCTTTTCTCTGTAAATCTGCATTTCCAATAAAAATAAATAACTCTTAAAATAAGGACCTGGCACAATAGCGTAGAGGCTAAAGTCCTTGCCTTGAACACGCTGGAATCCCATATGGGAGCTCATTCTAATCCCAGCAGCCCCACTTCCCATCCAGCTCCCTGCTTGTGGCCTGGAAAAGCAGTCGAGAACAGCCCAAAGCCTTGGGACCCTGCACCCACAGGGGAGACCCAGAAGAAGTTCTAGGTTCCTGGCTCCCGATTGGCTCAGCTCCGGCCGTTGCGCTCACTTGGGGAGTGAACCATCAGACGGAAGATCTTCCTCTCTGTCTCTTCTCCTGTCTCTATAGATGCCTTTCCAATAAAAATCAATAAATCTTTTAAAAAATCTTAAATATAGCACATGTTATCACAAGAGAAGGATCCCTCTTCTCTTCCAGGAAGCCATGGGGCTTAGCTCTGCCAGGGATGATCCTGAGTTCCAGGACCTGAAAACCATTTCCGTGCTCACAAAGCTGAGGTAGAGGTACTCTAAGTGTCTGCAGATAAAAAGCTAGGAAGCATTTCTCTGCTTTATGTCAAGAATTCAGTTGGTAATAACTATACTAGGTCCTGTTCTTCCTTCTGCTGACACCTGCTCATTGCCTGCAAGCTGTGCGAGATACAGAGGAGGTGACAGGTATCTTCGCAGCCTAAGAATCCTGTCACGCCTGTTTGCTCTGTTAGCACAGGAGGGCTGTGAAACTGGGACATGCTCCAAGCCATGGGGCATCCACCTGAACTTCCACAGCACACCCCAAGCCCCGCTGCAGACACCCGATCGGGCCAATGGGGCCTTACCTGACATTTGATCCCAGCCTGGCTACAGGCACACGCTTCTGGGTCACAATAGAGTCGACAGTCACAGCCACACTCCTCCCGCGACAGGCGGATGGCACGGAGCTCTTGCTTCTCCTCGGCGTCGATGCGGTGCACCCCGGATGCGCGCAGCAGGGCTCGCCGCCGCTTGGTGGGCAAAGGCTGCAGGAAGAAGTAATCCTCCACCTCCACGTTCTCCACGTCGATGTCTTCATCGGAAACGTCGTCCAGCGTCAGGCCGTCCGCCTCCACCGACTCCACCGTGCCGTTCTTGGTCAGCTGCCCGGGGACAGGAAACGGCGTCAGCGATGCCCCACAGTGGTCATGCAGGGCACCACGGCTGCCTGACCTTCCCCAGACACCTGGGCTCTGTCCCACCCCCACAGCATCCACCAGCCCGCACAGCAGCTGAGTGCCAGGAATGTGGCAACTCCTACACGGAAGTTTTCCATTGTACTTGATTTTTACTTAAATTTAGATAGCCACATGTGGCTAGTGACTACCTCATTGGAGGATGCAGTTCAAGAGAGTAAAACCAGGGTGGGAAACAAGGGAATGTCAGCTAGCCCTAAGGTCTCCATGCCTGCGGCCACGCCCTCCTGCCCTCCATCAGCGGACACACATCACCCGGGGTATACACAGAGCCTGCCGTCAGCCTTCACGCTGCACTCCACACAACGTAAAGAACCTTCTAGGAGAAGCTACATTCAGGTAGGCGCAGTACAAGACTACCAGGTTCACCTGGATCGCCAGCTGTGAACCACGACTTGTGTGGGCACAGAGGAGCTTCACTGTGTCAGAAAGAGGGCAAAGAGCCAAGGAACAGCTATCAGAAAGTCTTCCCGGCCAGCCCAGCGCCTCCTCGCGGGAACCTGACTCCAGGGCCAGCTGTACATGGGGCGGAGTGGCAGCAGAAGAGCGAGACCACAAGGCAGTGGTCTGCGTGCTCTGGGCCGAGGGCGAGAGTGCCGGGGGAGGGAGTGTTGGAGGAAGGGACATGCTGCAGCCAAGCTATTGCAGAACACATTCTGGAAACCCACTAGAGAATTCAGGTAAAGAAAATGAGGCCTCACAATCCCTCGGGCTCTGGAAGCTGCTGGCAGGAGGAAGGCGCTTGGTTGAGATTTCATCAGACAGCCACAGGTAGTGCTGGGAAAGGAAAAGCTCCCGAGAGACATGTGATGCAAGGCGCCTGGGGAATAGGCCTGGCTGCTTTGTTTGTTAGCGCTGTGCTGCTGCAGAGGAGAGCAGCTTCCGGCCTCCCGAGTCTGGGAGACTAACTCGCTGCTGTCCAGGACTCCAGGGCTGCCCACCTCCGCAGCCCCTCCAGCCGTACTCCCAACGGAAAGTGAACCAGGGTACAACAGCTGGAAACTCACGGAGGTTATCAGGGAACTTCAAAACATTTAGTTCATTTTAGTGCAAAAAAAAAACCCTTGAAATCCACAGTTTTTTTTTAAATTCCTCATATGCATGGATGCCAAAAATAAGCATTCTTAAGAACCTTTTTAAGTTTGAGAGACAAAGACAGCTTCCATACATCAGTTCGCCCCCTAAGTGCCTCCAATGGCCTCAGTCAGGCAGAAGCCAGGAGCTGAGACCTCAATCCAGGTACCCAAGCAGGTGGCAGGAACCCAGCTCGGGCAGCCATCGGCACTGCCCCTCGGGTCTGCATCAGCAGGAGGCTGCAGTCAAGAGCCACCTCGGGCTGGGATCCAACCCAGGTCCTCGGACGCAGAACATGTGCATCCTAACCTGCATCTCAGCCCCCAGGCCAAACGCCCACCCATCAACTTCTGCTTTCATTTCCTTTTCCCACAAACCTTGTGAAGCTAATGTATCAGGGTATGAGTGGAGTTTCAGATCAGGGAGAAAGGAGTCTGCTTGTCAAAACCAGACAGTATTGTGACAATTGGGCATTCTCTGGGAACAAAGCTAAGAATCCCAATCATCACCTTGTGATTGCAAGATTTATTTATTTTTATGATCGTTACCAGTTGTGATCATGAATGCCATCTGGATAAAGTAAAATAGTAAAAGTACTGCAAAATCCTAAGTCAGAGCCATAGGTGGCTAAGGTTGCAGAGTGCCACAGGCTACTGCAACAAGAGCCTGAAAGGAACATCAACTCCGGATGCCACAGAGAAAGGCTTTTTTTAAAGAATTGCTGCCTCCCTTTTACAGTGCTAAAGCGAGGAGCTTTGTTAGGCCAGAACAGTGAGATTGCAGACTAATCCTTAGCCTGCTGGTGCCAACATCCAATACATGTTGCCAGTTCGAGTCCTGACTGCTCCACTTATTGATCCACCTCCCTGCCTGTAGCGTGGGAGGGCAGTGGAGGATGGCCCAGGCCCCCCTACCCATGTGGGACACCTGGAAGAGGCTCCTGGCTCCAGTCCAGCTGTGGCTGTTGCAGCCATTTAGGGAGTGAACCAGCAAACAGAAGACCTCTGTCTTTCCCTCTGTATAATTTTGACTTTCCAAGTAAAATAAAACAAATCTTAAAAAAAAGGGGGGGGGAGGAACAGGAATTTTCTGTGAAAGGAGTAGACCGGTTGTGGGGAAAGTGAAGCAGGGATGCCTTTTAACAAATACGACTACATGAGATGCCATCATGGCTGGGGTCACCAGACGTCATGCCAGTAACCAGATACCCTCACCTGGGTCTTAGAGCCTGGCTTTATTCCTGAAATGACTACCAAGATGAAAGGATGGAATAGCATCCTAACTGTAGAGACAAAATGTGAAAGTTTTCTTCTAGGAACAAAGATGAAGGGATTCACTGCCACTGATGGGCCCACTGTTGATTTGCCCAGCGGTTGCCACAACAACAGGACGGCAATAGGTCAGTGATGGAATTCCTCGGAAGAAAGGGAAGCCTGAATGTGACAGTTAGAAAAACAGGTGAAGGCTTTAGACGCAGGCTGCGGGGAGCAGACACAGAACTCCCAGAGAAAAAGGAATGAGACCTGGGCTGTCTACACCCGCCACGCCCTCTCCGCCTTACCCCACTCCACTGCGTCTCCCTGACAACCCTAGAAAGCTTGCAGCCGCCTATGTTAATACAGGCTTACAAGAAACCTGGCCTGCTTCTTCAAATCTGGAGCCAGGGACTTGGGAGGGGAGTGGAAAATCTGAAGTCTGGTGGCTGTTCCTGCCGTGTTGGATCAAAGGGAGGCTTGGCCCCTTGCTCTGGTGCTGCACAGAGCATTAGACAACTGTGATGTGGTATGACAGCTGTTGTCCTAGAAGCCTGGGAGTGGGGGAGGATGTAGAGACTGGAAGAGCCTGAGAGAGGATATGGAAGATTCAAAATCTAGTCTGCATCAGGTCAAGGGCATCACCTCAAGTGGAGCACTGTCGGTAAGGGCGTCACCTGAAGTGGAGCACTGTCAGGTAAGGGCATCACCTCAAGTGGAGCACTGTCGGGTCAAGGGCATCACCTCAAGTGGAGCACTGTCGGGTCAAGGGCATCACCTCAAGTGGAGCACCGTCAGGTCAAGGGCATCACCTCAAGTGGAGCACTGTCGGGTAAGGGCAGCACCTGAAGTGGAGCACTGTGCTTTCCTGGGTCCTGGGGATTGTAGACCAGGATGCTTTTACGGATTACTGTTTTTAACTTTAAAAAATCAATTATCCAAACCACTTGAACAAGAACATTGGAGCATACCCTACATCCGGGACCTGGGGAGGGTGGGAAATTGGATGGGCCTTGTCCCTTAATACCCCCCTTTTGAACATGAAGGAAACAATATGGAAATAATCATCTCACCCACTTTCCTGTAGCCCTTGAACCTTTTTACCCCAATTAACTATGTAAAGATGGTCAAAAATATAATAAAAAAAAATCATCTTGGGAATATTGGGAGCAAGAAGCAGAATCCTTAGCAAGCCACTTTGATCTCTCTGGAAGGCACCTCTACCACAGAAGTGACGTTTACACTGAGATGAGACTCCAAATTTGAAACTTTTCATTATGAAAATTCACAATCTGTATATGCCAAGAGCAGCAGTTACATCAAAATTCCACGGCGCTATGACTAGGTGTGAAGCCCCGTGGTTAAGACACTCACCTCCCACACTGGAATGCCTACTTCAAGTCCCAGCTGCAGTTCCTGACTCCTGCTTCCAGCTGACACAGGCCTGGGCGGCAGTGATGCTGGCTGCTTGACTGGGTGCCTGCCACCCACCACCCCGAAGGCCCGGGCTGAATTCCCAGCCCTGGCCCCTGTAAGTATCAGGGAAATGAACCAACAGATGGGAGATCTTTCTTTCTGTCTCTCCTTCAAATTAATAGAAAAAAGGAGAAAATCAAAGGCTCTCCCCATTTCCGCGCTTTCGCTTAGCACATGGGCACTCAGCCCCCAAACCCTTCAGGCACCTTCATCTTCTTGGCATGGAGCTTCTCTTCCTTCAGGTGCTCACGCAGAATCTCACGATGGTTCACCTCCTGCTCTTGAGCAAACTCGCAGAGCGTGTAGCTGCGGACAGAGTTATGGCGCTGCGCCATGCCCAGGGAGCTCCCACCCTGGCTGGGCACGCTGGTGAAACCCTGGCGCCGGGCAAAGTAGTACACAGTCACCTGGTCAAAGCGGACATTCTTCCTGCGCAGCTGCTTCTGCCGCTTCAGGATGGAGGTGGCTGTGGAGGGAGCAGACAGGTGCCGTGAGCCAGGGATGGCGGCTGGGGGACTCCTCCCCATCCCTAATGTCCTCCCTGGACCTGGAGGCCTTGCTAATGTTTAAATCCTGCATGTGCCGGTGGGCGAGATCTGGAGCCTCAGCTGCTTCACACCCCTGCCTCCCGGCGGACTTCTCCTAAAGAACTGACCACAAACTCTATTTTTAGACATCAGACAGGAAGAGGATCTCTAGGTAAGCTTTTCAGAATAGAACAATCTACAGCGACTGCCGCAAAAGAGTAGCTACTAGCCACATGTGGCAACTTAAATTGAGGTTCATTAAAACTAAGTAAAATTAAGACCTCAATTCCTCCATTACACTAACCGTCTTTCAGAAGCTCAACAGCCACACATGGCTAATGGTTATTAGTGGGCAAGGGCAGGCAGAAAGCATTTCTATCCTAAATGACTGGCATCAGGGAGAGACAGAGTTTTCCTGTAAAAGGGCACTGGGTAATTGTTTTAAGGACGTACAGGCCATGGGGTCTCTACTGCAATGGTCGCTCCGCTGCTGCGGCGTGAAAACTATCAGACAATGGGTGTGACTGTGTCCCAATAAAACTTTATTCACAAAGACAGGAAGTGGGCCAGATGTGACCTATGGACAATCCCATTCTATAGTCATCAAAAGTTCTTTCCAAGAACTGAGCCAAAAAAAAGAAAAAAAAAAAAAGAAGAAGAAATCTACAGTTGCCCTAGTTGTCTAGGCAGTAAATATTTGTGTCCTGCTGTGGCTCAACTACAATCTCCTAGAGTGCTAAGGGCAGATTCTTGGACTCTTCCATTAATCAACCCTCTCTAGGGACTCACAAACCACAGCACAAGTAAAACCAGCTGATCAGACTTCAGTGCCCGAGATGAGAGCCACGAAGTCCTCCCAGGGGGAGAGAGGAGATGCACGGAGTTCTCCCAAGTGCTTCCCGGGGAGCCCAGGTGCAGACCGGGGCAGCGGCTACTCACGGGTGAAGCTGGCAGTCGTTGGAGGGTTGAGGCTGTCACAGCTGTCTGCGCTGTCACTGCTGGAGATCTCATCGTCCGAGTTGGACACGGAGGAGCCCACATCCACATCGTCAAACTTCCTCTTGAGGCCCGAGCCCGGGAAAGCATCCATTGGTGTCAAAGGGGATTCCTCGCGGAGCCCACCACGTCGGCCCCACAGCCCCGGCTCACCACCGGCTAGCCAGGAGCATCAGGAGTCTGCCCAGAGGAAAAGAGGAGTCAGTGGCCTGGCCTGAAGACACAGCCCTCTGCAGAACCGGCTCTCTGACTGAAAACCAAGCACCCGACCGAGCCCGGAGGTCAGGCCACTGCTCCCATTCGAGCCGGCAGTCTCCAGCTCAGCCCCTTCTGCCCCTGTAGTCTCGGTCACTCTTAGAATAACGAGATGAGCAGCCGCAGTGGCACCTTCCCCAAGGCAGGCAGGCCTCGCTTCAAGCCAGCTGGGCTCCAGGCTCATCAGCCCGGGGAGAAGAGTGGCTACTCCTTGGACGGGAGTGCTCGCCCAGGATCAGAGGCGGAATCGGCTTTGCCTGGACCCAGTGTAGATCCAGTGATCATTCCCAGCGATAACACAGCCTACCATTTCCTAAAGTGTGTGTCTTAAATACTCTGCTTCCATGGGTAGGAATAGCTTGCACATGGCAATCGGGCTAAGAGATTTTCATGTACTAAAGAGCGCAGAGAAGGCTTGGAGAAAACCCAGAATGCAGGATTTTACAAACCTGATTAGGGAACCCACTGTTTTCAAAATATTTTAGAGGGCAGAAAATCCTTGGAGCATTCCCTGGGAAGCACTGGCTACAGGCTCTCAATTGTGAAGGACACTGGCAGTCCAGAACACCCTTCACCCACATCTTCACAAGCACCAGCTGTCTAAAAATGGTCAAATACAGCTCTAAGCCACGGATCCAAGATGAGTGCGCGTGCCGGCTTCCAAACCAGACGCCTCCCCAGTGTCTCCAGCCACCTAACCAGGCCTCATCGCCTCCATCCTCATCCTCCGGGCAAGGAAACTGCCGCCTTCCTGTCACTGCCCTCCAAAAGAAGCCCATCCCGAGGGGCAGCCACTGCCAGAGAGTGACAAGTGACTCCGGGCGCGTGAGCACGGCAGGCTGCCACACAACTGAATCCACAAGCCTTTCTCCTCTGCCTTTGGACAGAGGTCCCGGAAGGACACGAATCGGCTCAGCAGAAACGCGCAATGAGGTAAGGAGCTTCCCGAGCTGGGCCGCAGCACGGCCAGAGCCTCCCAGACTATGATCTCACGAGTGGCTAATTACACAGCAGGAATAACAACACTGGCCGGGGACAGCAGGACCACGGACGGCACTGCAGGGCTGCTCTGCTCAACACAGCGGGCCGCACGAGCTGCCCGGCCCCGAGCTGCTTCTCCGGGTGCTGCCTGTGGGAAGGGATCTGCTTGCTAGTGGAGCAGCACCACCAGGCCCACCAGACCTCCTCGGCACTTCCTAGCCCGTCTGCCCAGAGTTCATCAAAATTCTGCATTATATCCGTGAGGCACCTAAGATGCCTCAGCCAGCGTAGGTCTCAGACAAGCACATTCCTGAAATAAATTTGGCCAGGGAGGGGAAAAAAAAATAACCAAGTACTTGATAAGAAACGTAATTAAATTTAAAAATGAGCCCAAAGTTGGCAGTCTGCTTTTCAGGTTACTGCTCTGACCACTGGAGGTCACATTCTTTGGGCATGGTTAAGAATGAAGAGAGCCAACGGTTGCTTATGGGTTCAGAATTAGCTGGATTTTAAAAACCTATGAGCTGCCCAATCTGTGTTCTATTATGGGAGGCAGGGGACCCTGCAATTGGACAGCATGGAAAAAAAAAAAGAATCACGTTGATGACTAAATTTCATCTCTCCCCTTCAGTAAATAAGTTTTACCAGGCACACGAGAAATCATACTTAACTGCAAATATGCTTTCGGAAAGGGCTGAAGTCTGCTTCCTTATTTATTATTATTATCATTATTATTATTATTATTGATTTGAGAGGCAGTGAGACACATAGAGGAGCAACACACATACACAGAGATCCCATCTGCTGGGATCTGCAATGACCTGGGCTGGGCAGGCCTCAAGCTGGAGACTTGGTTCAGGTCTTCCCCTGTGGAAGCAGGAAGCCCACCGCGGGGGCATCACTGCGCCCCCAGGACCAGAGCAGGGAGCTGAACCCAGAGACCCCCAAACGGACCAACACTACTGGCCCCAGTTCCATTGCGGCCACTCACGGGAAGCGACTTTGTCCTCCTCCTGCTCCCTCTCCAAGTGTCCCTGGGCTCCCCCAAGTGCCTTTCTCGGGTTCTCTGTGAAGCTCCGCGTAAGGTTGGGTCTGGCCCAGTCACCTTTATGACTAAAATCCCTCCTGTGCTCACCCAACTGCCCTTTCTCTGGCGGGCACCGTTTGCGTATGGTGAATGGCTGCTGGCTGCTCATTCTAATGGCCTCCTTATTCTCTGCATCTTTCTCACTTTTACTTCTGGACAGTGAGAGCAGGTAGGTAACAAAGAAAATAATGAAAAGTACGTCTTATGCTGTGACAGAACAACCAGATGTGTGGTCACATGTAAGTCACTGCACGCTCACCCGTGATCTGACTATTCCATTAACTTGGATGGCTCCCTGGAAAATCCTCCTGGAGACTGCACAGCTCCGCTTCTCTCTGCCCTCCCCGAGACCTGCCAGCATCCCATTTCCTGCCATCAACACCGCGATTTTCAAAAATCCATTATGTAAATCCAATGTAATGTGACATTTTCAGCCAGCTCACCCTGTCCCACTCCCTGGCGTGCACCTGACCTGTTAAGGATGTTTGCTGGGCACCAAGAACAAAGCTCCTGTCCACTTCCGTTCCTCCCCGAGGGAAAAGCTCTCTGCCTTTGCAGCAAGCAGTAACAACTGCAACAGGTCTGTGCTTTCACAGTGATCCCATTAACGTCCTTTCAGACCACGCCTGGCGGTCATTCTCACCTCCCTGGACTAGTCACTGGCAGCAGGTCAGTGTCTGTGTTGAAGAGACACACATGTAGGTTACACGGCAAGCCCTTAAAGCCACAAGGTGAGACTGGAAATGCAGGTCCTGACGGTTAACTGTCAAAATGACCAACTCCAACAACAAATGCTTCGGGAGAAAATAAATTCAAGCCTCAATAGAAGCTCGGGGAAAGGTCAGCTGACACTGACGACACGCCCCAGGACCCTTCCGCAAGTGTTTCTAGCGGGATGCTTCCCAAACCTATACGAAGCATTCAGAACCACACTATGGAGAAGATATTGGGCCAGCACTAAAGACAACAGATCTTCCAGGTGATTTTTATTATTCATTTGTTGGTTTGTCCAGGCCTGTAAGACTTCTTGTAATCACCAAAACCAACAAACCAAAGAACCTCGCATACGTGGGACTCCCAAGAGGGACTTTGCAGGGGAAAAAAAAAAATCTGGAGGCAGAATTTATTTGCAAAGTTTGTTATGTAAACCTCTTTTGAAAATGACCCCAAAATAGTAAGACAAGATGCAGCTTCCCAAGAAAGGCTCCCCATGCCCACACACACTTTCCTGCTTGACCTAACCTTCAGCTGAAGCAAGACAAGGGGCCAAGCCCTTTGCTAAGATCCCCAGGGCTACCCTCCACTGGCTAGGTTACCCATGGGGGCTGGCAGCTGAGCGCTACCAGAACCCTCAACACTAGGAGCGGCCCTGCTTCCATCCGCACCATGCGTCTGCAGACACTTTGACTCTCAGCGATCCATGCGCTCGTGGGACGGTCAGGCTCAGGACCTCGATGTGTGAGTGGAAATGCCCTTGAGGCTGGGGATCCAGAGAAAGTCCCCTCCTCCGAGCCCCAAGGTGACAACGTGGCTTCCATGTCTAAGCTGCCATCATCCGGAGGACATGGACCCTTGTGGGAGAACTAGGACATGAGGGCTGCACTCGCCCTCGAGGCTGCCCAGTCACTGATAACACCGTCACACACACAATATCCTGGCTGTGACGACTGGCGAGACGGGAGCTCGTAGAGAGAGGGGTTAAAATCACAATCAACTCTGGATTTACCCTCAAGTGAAAAGTGTAGGGCAAGGGGACGGTGCTTTCTCTCGGGGATAACTTCTAACGCTGCCTGCTCAATGACAGCGTGTGTGTGTCACACTAACCCACAGTGCTAAAAGAGATGGATGGATGGCAGTTGCGTGTTTGGGCCCATGGGGGAGAAAGAAAAAAAAAAGATAAAGCTAGCCGCCAGGGCAAGAGATGCTTTCATTTCCCCACCACACAACGCCAGGAAAAAAATGTGGGTGGGGGAGGGAGGCAGACCTGAGGAAGCGAGGCTGCAGGGGCACGCCAAGTCACCGGTGCCCTTAAAGACCCTGCTGAAGCAACCCTCCCCGCCGGTAACCTTCCGGAGCTCCTCAACGCTCGTCCTCATCCCTTCCTGCCTGCTACTCACACATTCCCAACCACTCCTCCCACATCTGCAACGATTCCCTCCCTCCATCCTACATCACTCCCGACTCAGCCCGCATCCTCCATCCTGCCGGCTCCCAGGCCGCCCAGCCACCCCGGCAGCCGGGGGCCCACGTCCGCGGAGCCCCCTTCGCTCCCAGCGGCGCCCCAGGCGCTCGGCCCCACGACCCCTCCACCCGCACGGCCGCCCGTGCAAGGACGAGGCGGCACCCTCCGCCCCGCACCCCAGGCCCATTACCGGCCCCGCCGCGGCTGCCTCCTCCCGCGATGGTCGCAGCCGCCCCCGCCGCCGCCGCCCTAAGCCCGGCTGGGAAGGAGCAAGGAGCGAGCGCGTCCCGGGCGACGGCCGGGGGAAGCTCCCGGAGCGGCAGGCGGGCAGGCGGGCAGGGCGGGCGGGCAGGGCGGGCAGGCCGGCGGGCGGCTCCGGCTCCGGCAGCGCGGACGCCCCTGGCAGCACAGCCCAGAACCGCCCCGGCTCCGGCTAACAATAGGCTCCGGCCGCAGCGCTCCAACTCTTATAGGCGCCGGCACGTCCCGGCCGAGCCCCGGGGCAGGCTGGGAAACAGAGTCCCGTGCGGCCCGCACGCCCCCGCTGCATGCCGGGAGTTGTAGGCGGCGAGCGCTGCAAAGGTGCAGCCGGCCGCCCCTGCAGGCTGCGCGCGTCTGCGGAGCTGCAGCCTTTGCAAGCAGCCACCAGGCCTTGGCTCCAGATAGTGAAGGACCACGCGCGAATCCTCCTCTAACGCTCGTACGGTGTTAGCAGTATGATCTGCTGCAGTCAGCCACGGCTAGCAACAAGCAGTATCTTGAATGATCTACTTTATATGTGTGTAGGTAGGTATACATACGTGTGTGAATATTATACACACACACCTTTCACCTCCACAACCCGTTTTGAAGATGGTAAAAGGAGACTAAGAAGTGGGACCTGGCGCGTGATGCGCCAAGAGCACGCAGCCTTGGGGTCTTGTCCCTCACTGCCTGCCTGCCGGCTGCATCACTTCTACCGCCCCCTCCCACACTCCACCTCAGCCCCTCGGTCTCCCCCATGCTCCCTTCATCTTTGCTCAAATGTCCACCTGACCGTGTTTGCGAGTCATTTCTTCCTCTCCTTGCCTTGTTTCCTCCTGGCATTACCACCTCATTTGTCTTCTCTCAAATGACTAAATCCTACGGCAGCACACGGCTGTTTGCTGTATCCTCGGTGCCCAGGGAACTTAGGACCACAGTAGACACTGGATGGCTGGATCCAGCAATGAATGGATGGATGGATGGCAGGACTGGCTGCTTGAGTTTTTCTACTTTGTGTAAAGAGTAGGGGGATCTCAAGGACTGCAGGGCCAGGATGGAGCCAGGAACTGCAACTTCAGCCCAGAGCTAAAGCAGGATGTGAGCCAGCAATGCTGCCTGCCAGGGTCTGTGTTAGCAGGAAGCTGGTCACGAGCTGGGAACTGGAATCAACTGACTCTCAGATAAGGAACACGGGTGCCTTCAGATGCCAGGACTTCAACTCAAGGTGGGCGCCTCCCAAATCCTGCTCCATCTTCCACTACAGCCAAGGAACTGTAAAACTAGGTGTGTTGGCTACCAAGCCAGCTCAACTCGAGAAGAGAGAGGTTGGATGGCTTGACAAAGATATCAAAAATTTGGTTTTTTTCCCTGAGTGACAACAAACACTTCAAGAGTCTAGGAGGCAACATTGCAAAATCAAGAATCCACACAACACAAAAAAGCAACCCTCTGGGTACCATGCGCTGATGGTTTTCCTGTCTGCTGAAATTGAGAGTGATCCAGAACAAGGGGCCTGGGGCACGGCTTTGCGGCAGGCTGACTCGACACTCAGGGACAACCACATCTCCTTATCAGAGTGACGCTGCCGGCACTCCATCTCCTGTGCTGAGGCATCCTGGGAGACAGCAGAGGCTGGCTCCGCGCTGCCAGACAGGGTTGCTGGCTTTGGCCTGGCCCAACCTGGCTTCAATGAGCATGTGGGAATGAACCAGTGATTCGAAGGTCTCTCTCTTTCAAGCGGAAACACACACGAAAAAGAACACGGTCCCAGAGCCACACTCCTTGAATACAACCCCCAACTCCTCCACTCAGTCCTGAGGTGATCCTGGCAAGGTACCAGCCTCTCCCAATGCCCAAGCTTTCTTGGTTAGTCCCACCAAACCAATGTGGCAATAAGCACTTGATCAGTTAAAAGGTCATCTGATTTCTGACATCACAACTTCTTATCACAGAGTCACTATTTGCACTTCATGGTCACCATCCATAGTCCCTAGGCAAGTTTCTGCAATGGTCCCCGCTCATCCGCTCATTCGCAGCAGCAGCAGTTCTGCCCTGGCCCAAGCAGGGTGGAGGCCCCATGGCAAGGGCAGGCAGAGGGAAAGCAGCCGAGGAAGCTGAGGCATGGGACAGAGACTGCAAACAAAGGGAGAGAAATATGCATACCGCTGTGTTACAGAGAACACCGGGTGTCCAACTCTAAATGTCACTGCTTGGTTTTAGACATGATGCAACATCTCAGAATACACAAGTTGCAGGCAGGTGTGTCGTCTTAGGGACCAAAAACTGTCGAGGAAGAACAGGGAGAGAAAAGACCAAGAGCAAGTAGCACAAAGAGCAGCGACAGATGAAAACCAAAGGCTGGGCCTCCGGCTCTGAGCACCGTCTGCACACAGATGATCCTGTGGTCACTGCTGGCCTTGACTATTGATCAGCTGATATGCAGTCAGTGCAAAATAAAGCTGATCCCTACTATTACGCCTCTGCAAAAAAAAAACAAAAACCACAAAACCCTATGAATGAAGTATCATTGTGTTTTTAAGATCACCCACCCACTGGTTCACTCCTGTCCAATGATTAGCCTCCAAGGCAGGAGCTAAGCCAATCCAAAGACAGGAGCCAGGAGCTTCTTCCAGCCTTCCTGTTTGGTGCAAGGGCCCGAGGACTTAAACCCCTCACCTCTGCCTTCCCAGGCCATTAGCATGGAGCTGAATCAGAAATGGCACTGCGAAGACTCTTAACCCATACGGGGTGCTGGTGCCACAGGCAGAGGCTTAGCACGAAATACCACAGCAACAGCCGCAGGAATGGCAATTCTAGAAAAAATAATAATAATGCACAACTGTAAATTATAAAATGGAAAAATATTCAAGATATGTCAAATACAAAAGCCAAATTGTAGGTTATTAGCATGACATGAACATACTGGGCTATCTGTATTGTGTGAATGGCGCAGGCCAGTTTTCAATGAGGAACTTGGAATGGGATTAGAGGGCAAAAAGAAAAGGTTATTTCTGTCTTCACTTTCTGAATTTATTTTATAAATTACTTTCATATTGAAAAGCTAGTGAAGGGCCGGCGCAATAACATAGCAGTTAAAGGCCTCTCCTTGAACACAACAGGATCCCATATGGGTGCCAGTTTTAATCCCAGCGGCCCTGCTTCCCATCCAGCTCCCTGCTTGTGGCCTGGGAAAGCAGTAAAGGACTGCCCAAAGCCTTGGGACCCTGCACCCATGTGGGAGACCTGGAGGAGGCTCCTGGCTTCAGATTGGCTCAGCTCCAGCCATTGTGGCAGCTTGGGGAGTGAATCATTGGACAGACTGAGGATCTTCCTGTCTCTCCTCCTCTTTGTATATCTGCATTTCAAATTAAAATAAACCTTAAAAAAAAAAAATCCTGTGGGCCCGGCGCGGTGGCGCAAGTGGTTAAGGTCCTCGCCTTGCACGCCCGGGATCCCATATGGGCGCCGGTTCTATCACCGGCAGCCCCGCTTCCCATCCAGCTCCCTGCCTGTGGCCAGGGAAAGCAGTCGAGGACGGCCCAAGGCTTTGGGACCCTGCACCTGTGTGGGAGAACCGGAAGAGGCTCCTGGCTTCAGATCCACATAGTATCGGCCGTTGTGCTCACTTGGGGACTGAATCATCGGATGGAAGATCTTCCTCTCTGTCTTTCCTCTCTGTATATCCGCCTTTCCAGTGAAAAAAAATAATAAAAATAAATCTTTAAAAAAAAAATCCTGTGAGTCTTCCTCTTCGGATTCTTTGTTGGGTCCCCTCCTCCATTTCTCCCACCCCCAAAAAAGAAAAGATAGTTAAATTTGCATTTAGAAGAACCAGCAGGGTGGGTCAATCAGCTAATCCCCCTTGCAAAAGCCAGGATCCTATATGGGTGCTGGTTCATGTCCCAGCAGCTCCAATTCCCTTCCAGCTCCCTGCTTGTGGCCTATCCCAAAGCTTTGGGACCCTGTAGCTGCATGGGCAATTTGGAAAAAGTTCCTGGTTCCTTGGTTCAGATGTGCCCAACTACACCCATCGCAGCCATTTGGGGAGTGAACTGGCAATGGGAAGATCTTTCTCTCTGAATCTTCTTCTCCCTATAAAGATAATTGCCAATAAAAACAAATAAATCTTTAAAAATTTGCATTTATCTAAAAGGATAAACTGAACACAGGAAATTTTTACAAATACACTAAATAATCAAAATGTCCTATGTCCTATCACCATAGTTGGTAATTTTAACCAACTATATAGCTATGGCATAATAAAATTTGGGGAGGAGCCTGAAAGATTTTCTGGTAAATTTAAAAATCTGAAGACTATTCTAAAACAACCATGACTTCAAGCAAGAATCAGCGTATAGGGCCCAGCCAATAACGTAGTGGCTAAAGTTATCACCTTGAAACGTGTCGGGATCCCATACAGGCGCCGCTTCTAATCCCGGCAGCTCCACTTCCCATCCTGCTCCCTGCTTGTGGCCTGGGAAAGCAGTCAAGGACGGCCCAAAGCCTTGGGACCCTGCACCCACATGGGATAACCAGAGGAGGCTCCTGGGTCTGACTTCTGATTGGCTCAGCTCCGGCCACTGCGGTCACTTAGGGAGTGAACCATCGGATGGAAGATCTTCCTCTGTCTTTCCTTCTCTCTGTACATCTTCCTTAACAATAAAAAATACGTAATAAATCTTTAAAAAAAAAAAAAAGAATCAGTGTTTATATAATGAATGGAGTTTTATATATCAAATGGTAAGCCAGGTATCATGGTCACAGAATCAGACAGAACTTAAAACATCTCCTCGTCGTGGTCAGCACTGTAGTTGAGCAGGTAAAGCCACCAGCTGCGACATGCACAGCCCATGTGGCACTGCTCCACTTCTGATCCAGTTCCTTACTATGGCCTGGAAAAGGAGCAAAAGATGGGCCCAAGTGCTTGGGTCCTTGATACCCACGTGGGAAACTTGAATGAACCCGACCTTCGGCCTGGCCTAGCAGTGGCTATTGCAGCCATCTGGGGAACGAACCAACCAATGGATTTGTCTCTCCCTCTCTAACTCTGACTTTCATATAAATAAATACATAAATCCAACCCTCCTACTCTAACCACAGCTGCCTGTGGCAGAGAGGAAAGCTGACTCTGCGGAGGCTGAGAACCGTGCTGGAACACCACACAGCCAGAAACGTCACCTCCAAATGACAGCTGGGAACCGCTCATATATTTTGAGTTGCCCAGGTCAATTTTAAATAAGTCACTGATGTAACCTTTCAGGTCTGAAGCTCTTTCAAACCAAGAAAAATCAGCCATGTTTCAGGTTGATTGCAATTTCATTTTAATCTTTGTATAAAAAATTTTAAATTTCATCAAATGCTGTATATACACACATAGGCACACACACAAATTCAAATGTAACACAGAATCCTTGGATTTTATCCTTGTTCACTTCCACAGACTCTTTGAAGAGATTTCTGGATAAAACTTTCAAGTGAAAACAGAAGATTCCTGGCTACACAGTTATACACACACACACACACCTACACAGCGCACATACAATCATTCTAGGGAAGAACAAAAGCCCATGGTGAGAATGCGAATGGCATGGTGATAAATGTTATAACGCTTAAATAAAACAACACTACAGGAATGAAAGAGCATCCTAAGCCAAGAGAGGATTCTGAGGAGAGGAAAAAAAAAAAAAACCAAGGGATTAGCCTGATTCAATAATACATCGTTTTGAGACTATCATTCAAGAAGAGTGAATTTGGGCTTTACACATAATCCCAAATTTTCCACCCCTCCAAATCCATGATTGTGGCAAGAGAGGACACTTAAAAAGCATCCGCGTCTTCACGATGCTGCACCTGGCGATGTGCGCGGCCAGCTCAGGCGTGCTCTGTCTCCGGCGGCTAACCGCGCACTTCCCGTGCCGTGTTGCCTCGTATTCTTCGGAAGAGGCACAGGAGGAAGCCTCGGTGAGCACAGCCATGAAGGGTGGCCTTGTTGGCGCTGGATGGTGACAAGGCCAGTCAGCCTGGGTGTGGATTTCAGCATCACTCCCTGGCAGCTGCCTGTGCTACAGCATGCTGCGAGGCCACTATGTATCTCCATCGCCTCACCTTCAGTTACGTAAGGGGACAGTATACATAGGGGCTTACGGAAAGGACTAACCAAGACAACCCATTTAAACAATTTCACTTTCTGGCTCTTAGCTAAAATTAGTATTAGTTATAATACTAAAGGGAAATCGAAAGAAAAATGATCTGTTTTTGCTCATCATTGATGAAGTTCTCAAAGCCCAACTGTGGCCAGAAAACAGAGATGCTAGTTTGTTCGAGGCAGAGGAGACTTAGGGCTACTCTTAGCAACACAGGTGGTCATGTTGATATTGGGTAAAAACTGCATGGCTTCAATCACAACGTGTAACATCGTTCCCTCATCGGCATGATGTCCTACATACACCTGAAATGATGTGGAGTTTCTACTGACACTCAACCACAGGTCCAGAAACCGTAACTGGGAGCAGCAGCAGTCTGCTGGGCAGTGATGTGTGTGTACCACAAAGGCTCGGCCCACACCGAGGGCAAGGGCGCTGCCTCGGTGGCACGAGGCTTCCATACACAGGTGGGTGAGCTTCCTGCAGAGTTCCGCTCACACCCATCTCTCAGAGGGCAGTTCTCAGGAGGTGAAGAGAGCAGCAGTCACTGGGCAGAGAACGGCCCCTACTTCAGTATGATGTGATAGCTATCACTGGTTTCTGCTGTAAAGAAAAAAGAGAAAGAGAATCTTCAGTCCAAACCACAGCTGGAAAAACAAACACAGCAGGATTCTTGTAAGAAACAAGCAAGCAAACAAAAGGTAGGATACTGCTTTCTGGGCCAACGTTGAAGCATAGCGGGTAAGGCCACAGTCTGCCATGCCAGGGCATCGGTTCACGTCTCAGCTGCTCTCCTTTCAGCCCCGCCTCCTGCTAGTGCACCTGGGAAAGCAATGGAGGATGGTCCAAGTGCTCCCACGGGCTGGCAGAGCCATCCATGTACACAACGGGCTGGCTCCTGCTGTGAGCCTGGCCCAGCCCTGGCTGTTGGGGCCAGCACATGGAAAAACCCTCCCTCTGTATCTCCTCAAGAAAGAAATCTTTTTAAAAATTGTAAAATAGCTTTCTTTTTCACATTTTTGTTTATTTTCATTTTATTTCCTTTTTTTTTAAAGATTTATTTTATTTTTATTGCAAAGTCAGATATATATATATAAAGAGGAGACACAAAGAGAAAGATCTTCCATCCATCCAATGATTCACTCCCCAAGTGACCACAACAGCCGGTACTATGCCGATTCAAAGCCAGGAGCCAGGAACTTCCTCCAGGTCTCCCACGTGGATGCAGGTCCCAGGGTCTTGGGCTGTCCTTGACTGCTTTCCCAGGCCACAAGGAGGGAGCTGGATGGGAAGTGGGGCTGCCGGGATTACAACGGTGCCCATATGGGATCCAAGAGGGTTCAAGGCAAGGACTTTAGCTGCTATGCTACCTTGCCAAGCCCTATTTTCATTTTATTTCAAAGACAGTTGGAGAAATATCTTTCATCTGCTGGTTTACTCCCCATATGCCTGCAACAACCAGGACTTGGTGAACCCAAAGCAAAAAGCTCAGAATTACACCTGGTTCTGTCAGCCTTGCAGGGTACAACAGCAGCAGGAAGCTCTATTAGAAGAACAGCCAAGGTTCAACTTAACCCCTGCACCACCCACCCTCCCCAAACAGTACATTTTTATGTTTTAAGATTTGTTTATTTTTATTGGAAAGACATATTTACATAGAGAAGGATAGACAGGAAGATCTTCCATCTGCTTGTTCACTCCCCAAGTGGCCCCAACAGCCAGAGCTGAGCCAGTCTGAAGCCAGGAGCCAGGAGCCTCCTCCAGGTCTCCCATATGGCTGCAGGGTCTCAAGGCTTTGGGCCATCCTTGACCACTTTCCTAAGCCAAAAGCAGGTGGATGGGAAGTGGACCAGCCAGGACACAAACCAGCAACCATAGGGGAAGGATTAGCTAATTAAGCCATTTTGGCAGGCCCCAGTATACTTATTAATTAGAAATGAATGCTGGGCTTAACCATGGCTTCAACTAAAACTTCTAACTATTTATTTATTTAACAGGCAGAAGGGTAGTGAGCTCCAATCCGTTGGCGAAGCAACAGCTGAAGACCTTAAGTTAGGAGCCAGACCTCAAGCCAGGCCCTCAGGAAGCCAGTTACTTGGGCATCATCGCTGCCTCTCGGGTGATCGGAAGCAGAAGGTGGAGTGAAGAGCTGGAGCCAGAGATCAAATCTAATGCACTCAAATGCAGAGATATGGGATGTAGAAGTCCTACGCAGTGTCTTAACTCTAGGCCAAACGCCCATCACTCAGAGTGGTACAAAAACAGTACGTATCCAGTGGCATCCCCACTTCAAATTTTGATCTGTTCCTGAGCTGGCATTACACACTGCAGTCTTCTCCAATGAGGACAGGCAGAGTGAGCTGTAACTCAGCAGCCACAGGGTCCCAGGGGTGCACAACTGACACTGCAGTATACTGTGCTGCCAAGCACTGATATTCTCCAGGTTAGGTGTATTAAAAGCATTTTTAACTGAAGGATGGATTTAACAAGACACAACTTCACAGAAACTCGGGAGTATCTGTAACAAACACACCTTAGAGAAGGCGCTGTGCTCCAGAGAATTAGGGAGCTGGCATTGTGGCGTGACAAGCTAATCCTTTACCTACAGCACTGGCATCCCATATGGGCACTGATCTAGTCCCAGCTGCTCCACTTCCAATCCAGCTCCCTGCTACTGGCCCAGGAAAGCAGCAGAGACCACACCAACATAACAGACCCAGAAGAAGCCCCTGGCTTCAGATTGGCTCAACTTCAGCCACTGCAGCCATTTGGAGAGTGAACCAGGGGATGGAAGATCTCTTCATTCTGTTACCTTTAAATCTGTCTATAAATAAAAATAAGTAAAACTGGAAAAAAAAATAAGTTGCAGCTTGGAATGCTTATCTACCATACCACAGGGCCAACTGAAGTCCCAGTCTCTCACTTCTAATGCAGCTTCCTGCTCAGCGCTCTCAGGAGGCGCAGCAGCTGGATCAGAGGTGCTTGGGAGACCGGGGTGCAGGTTCAGGCTCAGGATTGGGCATGGCCCAGCCCACTGGATGCTGCAGATACCCAAGAAGTGACCCAGCAGATGGAACATCTATCTCTATGTCTCTCAAAATGTGTCACTCCACTTTCCAAGAAGATGATCTATTTAAGATCTATTTAAGATCTATTTACTTAAATGGACAGAGGTAGAGACAGAGTGAGATTCCATCCTTTTGTTCACTCCCCAGATGGCCACAACAAACAGGGCTGGACCAGGCAGAAACCACAAACTTCATTCAGGTCACCCACATGAATGGCAGGGGCCCAAATATTTGGGATATCTTCCAATACTTTTCCCCATTAGTAGGGAGCTAGCCAGCAACCATATGGGCAGCAGCTTAACCTGCGTTGCCACAACACCTGCCCCATAAATACACATTTTTTTAAATGCCCATTTTTCCTCATTTGCCAACACAGGATGGAGAGAATGGCAGAGTCATCAGGTATACTCTGTCTATAGGAGGCTAATTCTGAGAAAGGAATCATCTTTTTTAACATTTACTTTATCCCTTCTATATCCTCAAAGAAGTATAAAAAGTTTGTTTAAAAAAAAAAATTGACCCAGTGTGATAGCCTGGTGACTAAATCCTTGCTTTGCATGGGCCAGGATCCCATATAGGCGCCAGTTCAAGTCCTGGCAAAGCTATTTCCATCCAGCTCCTGCTTGTGGCCTGAGAAAGCAGTCAAGGACAGCCCAAAGCCTTGGGACCTTGCACCTGTGTGGGAGGCCCGGAAAGCTCCTGGCTCCTGGCTTTAGATCAGCTTAGCTCTATACACTGAGGCTCCTTGAGGGGATGAGCCAGTGGATGGAGGATCTTTCTCTGTCTCTTCATTGTAAATCTGACTTTCCCACAAAAATGAAGAAATCTTTAAAAACAAAAAAGGCATTTATTTGCAAGACAGAACAAGAGACACACACAGAGAAAGACTTCTTCTACCCACTCTTGAAATGCCGACCACAGGCAAGATGGGGCCAGTCTAAAGACAGGAGCCTGGTACCAATGAGGCATCCCGTGTGGGCACCTGAGCCACCTCTGACAGGCAGCAGGGGTTGAGGGTGGCAGGGGGTGGGCTTGGGAACAAGGCAGAAGGATGAATCGCCCACTCCCATGCAGGGCTGGGCTGGGCAAAGTCAAACCCAGAAACCCAATCCAGGTTTCCCTCATGGATGCTAAGAACCAAATACTCAAGCATCCCTGCTCTCTCTCACAACCTGCACTGGCAAGAAGCTCCGATGCAGACACAGACCTCAAAAGCAGTGCGTTCTAACCGCTGTCAAATGCCGCCCCTAACAAAACACTGTTCACGTTCTTAAAGACCATGGTCACTATTTTATTACCTTTCATTGTGTCCAGGATAAAACAGGCTTCTTCCTGAAAGTTCTGTATCATCTGAAAAAAACAAGAAAATCTGCTGTTCATTAAATACTTTTGGTATTTTGCAACATTACGATGGAACATGACCCCTCCCAAGGCTGATCCCATCTCCAGGAAGGTTCGCAGGAGGCTCTGCAGGGCACAGGAATAGCTTATGAATATGCATGAAATGATACACACTTCCTCCTCCCAATTTCGAAAGCCTGCTTCACATGCTTGTGTTCTTTTTCCCTTCTCCTAAAAAGTTTGGACCTCTAACTTTCAAAACACAGAACCATCTAGAACAGTGATTTAAAAAATGGAGTGTGCATTCCCTTGGGTTAATTAAGATTTCCGAAGGGGGGACCTGGCGCTGTGGCCTAGTGGCTAAAATCTTTGCCTTGAATGCGCCAGGATCACATATGGGCACAGGTTCTAATCCCAGCTGCTCCACTTTCCATCCAGCTCCCTGCTTGTGGCCTGGGAAAGCAGTAGAGGATGGCTCAAGTTCTTGGGACCCTGCACCCGCATGGGAGACCCGGAAGAGCTCCTGCTTCCTGGCTTCAGATCAGCACAGCACCAGCCGTTGCAGCTGCTTGGGGAGTGAATCATCAGACGGAAGATCTTCCTCTCTGTCTCTCCTGCTCTGTCTGTATATCTGACTTTGCAATAAAAATAAGTAAATCTTAAAAAAAAAAAAAAGAAAGAAAGAAATTATGGGAAAATAAAACTTTAAGGGGAATACAAAAGTAAATACGGATTCAGGACAACAGAAGAATTATATAAAAATTCTGTTATAACCACATAGACTTTTTAAAATGGATAATGGTAGTACTTAGGTTAGGTGGAAAACAATTTAAAAAGTGATGTACCGTTCACTTTTTCCTGTCATCCATTTCCAGAAATGCCATCTTCTAAAACAGTTAAGCTTTTAACAAAAAATTTTAAGTCAACCTAAAATTGTGTAAAGACATACACGGTTTTAAAAATTATTTAGGAGATGAGCAAGCAAAAAGGTTTGAAACAGTCTGTCCAGGAAACAGCTCTGTTCCAGAAGAACCGACCTGGCTTCTATTACACACGCCAACAAACTGTCATGTGGCAGTTCAGCTGCACTGGGACATCTACCTCGTCACTGATGAGCACGTGGATTCCTGTCGGCCCCTGCTTGTAAATCTGGCTGATCTGGCGTGGGGAAATGCTGAAAAGTTGAGCAATTTTCTCTGTCAATTCAACAGCTGTCAGTTCTTCCAGGTAGATGGCATGATACACTGCAGAAGAGAGAAACAGCAGCGATCAGTACAAAAACCCACCTGCTCTACAGGTGACGCCCTGGCCAGGCAGGCCCGCTCTCCTGCACCTGAGAACCCGGCTGCTCTGAGTGCTGCCGGCTGCGGCACCTGAGTAAGTTCTTCCAAACTCTTAGGCCTCATTTTCTTCACCACAATGCTAACACAACAGGAAACCCTACTGTAAAGAGCGGCTGCTCGCTGTCAACAGTAAAGCACCAACAAAGTATTAACACGAGCATCTTTTTTGTTATTACTAATTTGACAAGCAGACACAGACAGACAGGAGCTCCCAATGCCTGCGAGCCGAGAACTTAACCCAGGTCTCCATGTTCGAGGCAAGTAGCCAATCACTTGAGGTAACGTAGCTGCCTTCCATGCATGAGCAAGGCGCTGGACCCAAGAGCTGAAGGTGGGGACTGAACCCGGCTCTTCTGATTGGGACGTGGGCCTCTGAACCGCCAAGGCCAAATGCCCACTCGGCGCCTGGCATGTCTGAAGAGTTCAAGAATTAGCAACTACCACTACTTCTAGCAAATGCTGGGTACTTTCCCATCACACGTGACTCTCATTCTGGGGTGTCCAAAAGGACCTACCGAAGAAGGTGCCGTTGGAGTCTGCATCCTCGTGCTTCTGCTGCTGTTGCTGCTGCTCCCTCAACTGCAGCGACTCCTGACACACATAGATGGTTAACCTTGGACGTACCATCCTATAGGGGGGAAAAGCGCTGTTAGTCTCTGGCAACTTTTTAAAAGCACGTTTTCAGGGAAAATCTGCACTTTCATTTTAATAGTGTGGAGTGGGGTTGAAGACTGGCAGCTCATTTCCCATGTTTTATTAGCTCCCTGGAGGTGAATGGGTTCTTGTTTCTTAAGTAGAACTGGTTCGCACAGGAGGCATCATAAAAACCTTTAAACTTTTGGCTTTCCTTAAAAACTGAGAGCTGGCAATGTGAGGCCACCATACTCACATGAAAACAATCACATGTTCTCCTTGCACCCCAGACTTGACTGTCATTTACATTAGCTATCTGGCCTCTGCAGTCATCTGAATATGCGATAGGTTATGATTTGGACATTAGCTTGATGCTGTCCCCTAAGTCTTATTTTAATGGCAATAAGAGGATGGAAATGTAATCCAGTTATAGTGCTACAGGCAGGGTCTTTGGGGGAGACTGGATTAGACTGGGCTTTTAGTGTTGAGCCCCCACAATTCAATTCTGCTGGCTTCAGAAGAGACAGACACAGGTGAACGAATGTGCTGCCTGCTGTATCTTACCACGTCATGCCCCATGCCACCCTGAAGCTCATGCTGGCAGGAACCCCGCCACCAGGGGCTGGGCAAGAGAGGTCTGCCTCATCTGGCACTGTGAATGACCAGTACTGTGAGCTAAAGAAGATTTTTTTTTACTGTAAATCATGTGCCTCGGGCACTTTGCTATAGTAACAAAAGATGTCTGCTACATGACCTGTCGGGTAAAGGCTAGAAACACGCAAGGTGTATAAAGCACTGTTTCATGGGTCAGACTTAGAACATGGATTTAAAACATAAACATAACAAACTAGAACATCTTAGTTACCATTCCCTTCTCCTAAACGGCTTATATACTCTTCCTATTCCTTCTACTTGTCAGAGACCTTAAATGATCTTTTGATCTGGGCATCTTAGTCCTTCCTATTTATAAACTCTTTTGATAGTAGTCTTCAAAATCAAAGAACTATTTTTTTCCTTCCCAAGTCAACAACTCCCATATTACACTTCTTTTTCAAAATTCTCCAACATTCCAGTGATTCTGATGTAATATCCTTCGAGACACAAACACTTCAACACGCTGTATTACAGTCACTGATTTGGTTGTCACCAAAAACCTATGTGCTTTTTCCATCAATATTATATGAGCTATTCAAAACTGTACATCCTAAAAAGGACCAAGAATTAAAAAGCAGACATAAGTAATTCCTAGCCAAACTTAAAAAAAAAAAAACTTGATTTGGTGCCTTTATCTTACTTTTGCTTCGTTTTCCTTCAAAACACAGCACTATGCAAAGTCCTGTTCAGATCTCTACCTCGCTCCACTAAAACCTCCACTCCACAGCACGGGGTGCCCTGTGTTTTCCTATGTCTCCAGGACCCACAAGAGTGCCTGGCTCATGATAAAGCCGATGCATACTTGTCAGATGAAAAAACTTCCTTGGGAGTAATAAATGAGCCATCATAGGGAATTTGCTGGACCAAACGTAAGAAAAGGTATTTTTCATCTTTGTTAGGTACATGGCAGGCAATAAAGGAAATACTTTCCCAAGATGTATGTAACTGTGCAGAGCACAACAAAGAATCCCTGATCCTAAATCCACTGGAAATTCAATCTCGGTGATATTTTAACACTAATTACATACCGGCCTTTTAATGCATTAAAAAGTCTGATTCCATCTGCAGGGCCACAAATTTGAATCACATCATCTCTAGTTAGTTTCAGTAAATCTGCCCCTGGAATAAATACAGGAAAATGAGTAACAGACTCAAAAGATCCCCCTTGCTACTAATGACTATTAAAAGGGGCCCTATTACAGGGACACTTCATTAGCCATACGCTAGAGTCCACACTCTCACACAGCATGTAAGACCCTTCACGACCTGGCCCCCACCTCTTCTGTGCAATAACCCCTATGCTTTCATCACACGGATGATGTCTCGTGGGCAAGATGTGCCTCCTGCCGGAAGTATGTCCCTTCTGATCGGCCCACTCCTCACCCTCAGAGGCTCCTACCACCAGGGAATACCTCACTCCATACACCATGAACCATCACATCATGGGTTCTCTCCCTTTTTCACAGGGCTATATTTTGATTTCTTCTTTGTGTGTGCGCACACACGTCAGATGTGGGGTGAGGGTGGGAATATCACATGATAAATGAACTGCTGGATCAAGAAGTAGGTATGCTTTATTCATTATATATTCCTACTACACTGGGAATAAAGATGTGCAATAAAAATGGGTTTCATAAGTAAAATACAATATAGTGACACCAACGGGAAAACTTCAGGATAAAATATTATATGGAATACACACTGCAAAAACTGTATCAAGGTCCAGTGCAGTAGCCTAATGGCTAAAATCCTCATCTTACATATGCTGGGATCCCATATGCTGTAATTCCTATCCCAGCTGCTCCACCTCCCATCCAGCTTCCTGCTTGTGGCCTGGGAAAGCAACCGAGGACGGCCCAACCAAAGCCTTGGGACCCTGCACTCATATGGGAGACCTGAAGAAGGCTCGTGGCTCCTGGTTTCAGATTGGCTCAGCTCCAATCATTGCGGCCACTGGGGGAGTGAACCAGCAGATGGAAGAACTTTCTCTCTGTATTTCCTTCTCTCTATAAATCTCCCTTTCCAATAATAAAGAAATCAAATTAAAAAAAAAAAAAAACTTTATGAAGGCCAACGATATAGCATGATAGGCCAAGCCTGTCTGTAGCACTGGCATTCCACGTAGGTGCCAGTTTGAATCCAGGCTGCTCTACTTCTGATCTAGCTCCCCGATCACGCCCTAGGAAAGCAACGGAGGATGACTCTAGTGCTTGGAACCTGCATCACATGAGAGAACCAGAAAAAGCTCCTGGCTCCTGGTTTTGGATCGGCTCAGCTCCAGCCACTGCAGCCATCTGGGGAGTGAACCAGCATATGAAAAATATGCGATGGTCTCTCCTCTCTTTAACTTTACCTTTCAAATAAAACCAAATATTTTTCTAAACAATACTGTATGGTGTAAACATTTAAAAATAAGCAGAGTGCTTTAAAGTATTTCACAGCATAGTCACAGTTAATGAGAAAACCTGAAAGGCCCTAAAATTTAATTTCATTAGAAAAATGCACTAAGACCATAAGACATATACACATACACCCGCAGAGCCGTGTATACCAGGAGGCTGTAGGATGCAAAAAGATCCCATGCTGGGAAAAATGAAAGATGCCAATTCACCTGAGAAGTTTGTGAAAAGCCTGGAGAATGTAGAAAAACGATTTCGATGCAACCACTGCTGAGCTTCCTGAGGTGTGGTTGTTGGCAAGAGGTTCTGAAAGGCAGGAAGCATTTGGGTTAACTAAATCGATTCATCTCCCCCGGTAACACACATCTTCAAACCCTCAAGTGCTTCCTGACTCAGACAGGCCGAGCTGGCCTCATCACGCTAACCTTCTCCTCGCCTGGGAAACACACCCATGGCGCTTCCCCCGTCATCTCGCTGCAAGGCTCCTCCGGTGCAAGGGTCCTGCAGGACCCCGTTCCTCACAAAGTACCTGGCTCACGGTCAGACTTCAGGGATTGTCTCAGCACTGAGTGAATAACACTCCCTAAAACTTGGGGGCGTTTCTACTCAGCACACAGCACACATAACAAACACTGAGCTTTCTACTTACATCTGTCACTGGGGGCGGTGGTTCTGGCTGGTGGTTTGGGGAACCATTTCTAAAGAAACATCAAAAAGCAGAGGGTGAGTCCACGACATACAGTAAGGTCCGGTATCTTGTTCATGGTCTTCACAATAAGCCTTCAGCTAGAGATTTAAAACAATCTGTGTTCTCCCATAAAATATTCTCATTCTTTGACTCAATATTTCAATTTTCTGTTACTAAGCTCTTAACAGGAAAAGAGAAGAATCTGTTATTTAAAAACATCTTTCAAGAAGGAAATTTTTTTTAAAAATCTAAATTTCAATTAGGACAAGTGAAACAACTTAATAAATGTATTAAAATGAAAAATATCAGGATAGAAAAACATTTCAATATATTACTACTGTATTTAATACATAAAAAGATATATACTAACATTCACAGGAAACACTGGAAGAAAAATGTATGGGAGCCAACACTGTGGCATAGCACGTAAAGCTGACACCTGCATTCTGGCACCCAATGTGGGTGCCGGTTCGAGTCCTGGCTGCTCCACTTCTGGCCCAGCTCCACACTAACGTGTCACAAAAAGCAACAGAGGACCGCTCAAATGCTTGGTCCCTAGCATCCACGAGGCACATGCAGAAAGGGCCCCTGGCTTCTGGCATCTGAGGAGTAAACTAATGAATGGAAGCTTTTCGCTGTCTGACTCTTTCTCTGCCTCTGCCACCATGCTGCCTTTCAAAAAAAAGAAATCTCTAAAAATGTATGCAATACAACCTGATCATAGATGTCTATCATGAAAAAATTACTTTTCAAACATTTATTTTTATTGGAGAGGCAGAAATATGGAGAGACAGAAAGGAAGATCTTCCATCCTCTGATTCCCCAACTGGCCACAACGGCCAGAGTGGCGTGAATCCGAAGCTAGGAGCCAAGAGCTTCTTCTGGGTCCCTCACACAAGTGCAGGGTCCCAAGGTTGTGGGCCGTCCTCGACTGCTTTCCCAGGCCACAGGCAGGGAGCTGGATGGGAAGCTGGGCAGCTGGGACATGAACAGACGCCCATATGTGATTCTGGTGCGTAAAGGACTTTAGCCACTAGTCTACCATGCCATGCTTGGAAATTTATTTCTTTTTTTTTTTTTAAAGATTTATTTTTATTATTTTTTATTGGAAAGGCGGATATACAGAGAGGAGAGACAGAGAGGAAGATCTTCCGTCCGATGATTCACTCCCCAAGTGAGCGCAACGGGCCGATACTATGCCGATCCGAAGCCAGGAGCCTCTTCCGGATCTCCCACGCGGGTGCAGGTTCCCAAAGCCTTGGGCTGTCCTCGACTGCTTTCCCAGGCCACAGGCAGGGAGCTGGAAGGGAAGCGGGGCTGCCGGGATTAGAACCGGCGCCCATATGGGATCCCGGGCGTGCAAGGCGAGGACTTAACCACTTGCGCCACCGCGCCGGGCCCTGGAAATTTATTTCTAAAGCACCTTAAAAAAGTTAGTGCTGTCTACATTATGATCCAACTACTATTTCCACTCTGTGTTTTTCTCTACATTTTCAACTGTCTATGGACTGTCCCCCCTTCCCTAATGCTTACTCTTATAGGAGAAAAGTTAGCCCAATAAAGAAGTAGTTGGAAAGAGAAGAGAAAACTTAAAAACCATATATAGGCCTGACACGGAAGCCTAATGGCCAAAGTCCTCACCTTGAACGTGCCGGAATCTCATATGGACACTGGTTCTATAGAACACCCTAGCGGCCCCACTTCCTATCCATCCAACTGCTTGTGGCCTGGGAAAGCAGTAGAGGCCAGCTCAAAGCCTTAGGACCCTGCATCCGTGTGGGAGACCCAGAAGAAGCTCCTGGCTTCAGTTGGGCTCAGCCCCAGCCATTGCTGCCACTTGCGCAGTGAACCAGCAGACAAACAACATTTCTCTCTCTCTCTCCTTCTGTCTGTAAAATCTGACTTTCCAAAACAAATAAATACCAAAATAAAAACTTCATATAATACTTAAAAGTGCCTGTAAAACTACATTATCCATGTAGATGGTATAAGAGAATTTTTCTTTCGAAAAAGATCATTTTCCATTTTTAAGCTTTTAGATGCATAATTCAAATCTGGTACTCAATCCTAGTGATGAACTTACCTCAGCGCCTGAGTTACACATATTTCTTTTCAAATTAACATTTATTTTTATTCTTAATTGATGTTTTTCATTAACTCCTTTAAAAAAGCAGGTCAAAACATCAATCCCAGGGGCCTGGCACCATGGCCTAGCAGCTAAAATCCTCACCTTGAACGCGCTGGGATCCCATATGGGCGCCGGTTCTAATCCCGGCAGCTCCACTTCCCATCCTGCTCCCTGCTTGTGGCCTGGGAAAGCAGTCAAGGACGGCCAAAAACCTTGGGACCCTGCACCTGTGTGGGAGACCAGGAGGAAGTTCCTGGCTCCTGGCTCCAGGTCAGCACAACACCAGTTGTTGTGCTCATTTGGGGAGTGAATCATCGGACAGAAGAGCTTCCTCTCTGTATATCTGACTTTGTAATGAGAATAAAATAAATCCTCATAAAAAAAAATTCCAAGTAAATGCAAAAAAACATTACAACTAAACAGCCTATTCATACAATGACCACTTATTTCAGATTTCAATATGGTTATGCAGGTAGTACTGTGAGAACTTTTTGTTTTTTTGGTTCTTTAAGATATTTACTGGAAAGGCAGTTAAGAGAGGCAGACAGAGGTAGGGCAAACAGGAAGTGAGATCCTCCATTTGCCAGCCAACTCCCTAAAAACCACAGTGGCTGAGACTGGACCAAGCTGAACTCAGGATATCCCCAGTGGGTGGCAGAGGTTGAAGCACGTGGACCAGCCTCCCAGGCATACCAGCAGGGAGTGGACTGCAAGTGGAACAACCAGGATGCTGGCTTTATAGGCAGGAACTCAACCTACTGTGCCACAACACCAGCCCTGAGACAAAATTTCTGGCTACAATGGGTGCCCATACCAACATTAAAAGAAAACAAAGCATGAAATGCATTCCATAAATAACTCTAAAACATCATCATCTTCAACATTCTTTTCCCAATAATTAAAAAAATCCATAATAATTATGAGTTAGGAGCATTTTTTTTTTAAAGATTTACTAATTTTTCTCAAAAGGCAGATTTGCAGAGAGAAAGAGAAACAGAAAATCTTCCGTCTGCTGGTTCACTCCTCAAACGACTGCAATGGTTGGAGCTGAGCCAACACAACATCAGGAGCCAGGAGCTATTTCCAGGTCTCCCACGCAGGTACAGGGTCCCAAGGCTTTGGGCCACCCTCTACTGCTTTCCAAGATCACAAGCAGGGAGCTGGATGGGAAGTGGAGCAGCCAGGACACAAACCAGTACAGATATGGGATCACAGCATTTGTAGGCAGAGGATTAGCCAACTGCGCTATTGCACTAGCCCTGTTAGGAGCATTTTTGTTTAAAAGGCATACTTATTTTCATTGGAAAGTCAGATATACAGAGAGGAGAGACATAGAGTCCTCCACCTGGTGATTCACTCCCCAAGTGACCACAATGTTCATAGCAGAGCCAATCTGAAGCCATGAGCCCAGAGCTTCTGGGTCTCCCACGCGGGTGCAGGGTCCCAAGGCTTTGGGCTGTCCTCAACTGCTTTCCTAGGCCACAAGCAGTTGGATGGCAAGTGGAGCAGCCAGGATTAGGACCGGTACCCACATGGGATCCTGGCACATGCACGAAGAAGACCTAAGCCACTAGGCTCTGCGCTGGGCCCTGCAGGAATATTTTTAACATATAAAAAGATGTTAGTGATTGCACAATTGTCCTTGTAATTCATAGAGACGACTCTGCTGTAAGATGATGAAGAACCACAGCAGAGCAGTCATACAGAGCAGTAAGCATCCTGAAACACTGGAGACTGACCAACAATGTTCTGTGGAAGCAGGATGCGGGAGGGAAGAGAAGCTAGGGAACGCGTGCCCATCTGGGTCTCAGCAACTCCACTTCTGATCCAGCTCTCTGTAATGCACCCAGGACAGCAGCAAAGCACTGTCCAAACGCCTGGGCTCCTGCACTCATGCAGAATACCAAGGAGCTCCTGGCTCCTGGCTCCAGCCCAGCACAGACCTAGGCCCTACTGCCATTTCCAGAGTGAACCAACAGATCAAAGAGCTTAATTCTAGCTCTGTCTTCCAATAAAGAAATAAATAAAATCTAACAATAATGTTTTTCTCAAAAGGTCAGTTTCTTTTGAAGGTAAAACAAATTTTAGGTTATTTATAAATCCACTAAAGACTGACCAAATGCACGTGCTGTTTCATCTGGAAAGACCCTGTTAATGGAAAGGTAATGAGAGAACACATAATACAGGCTAATTTATTTCCCAGACTTACCCTTCCCCAAGAGAAAAGCTGCTGTGGGAGCTGTTGAAGCCAGGGGACGGGGAGTTATTGACGTACGTGATCTCGGGCCACGGAGAACACTAAAAGGAAAAGAGGACTTGAGGCACGGAAAAGCACACTTGCCCCTGGGTTCCCTTGAACCCCACTGCAACTGTAACATGTCTTGGTCAGTTACCCTTCATGCCAGCAGCAAGACAGGGCAACACTCATGGGCAGCTAACTCTGCCCAGGCTGGAAAGACTACACAGTGGGACCGCACAGAGACAATGATTTACCTCCGTGAGGATGGTGGTCTCGTAGGAAGGCTGGTATTTCTCCTTCTCATGGGGTGTCCGTTTCTCCATTTTTTCTCTATCTGTTTTTTGCTTTCTGTCTGCTCCTTTGGGCTGAAACGAGAAAGATTTTGTTTTGAACCTAACTACTCACCCTTAGATCCAAAAATATTACTTCTAAAAATGGAAATGCATTCATCCCTCCGTATCCATGAAGGATTAGTTCCAGTTCACACATGCACCCCCACACCAAAATCTGCACTGCCTGACTTCCTTCTCTAACACGATGGAATATTTACATATCACGCAGTACATCTTCCCATACATTTTAAACCAGCTCTAGGTAATTTGTAATTCATAGCCAAAGGAGAATGGTATTTAAAGGACTGTTGCCTTATTTACACAAAGAAAGGCCTCGGATTCTTAGTATTGATAACCATCCCAGGCCTAACTACTTAGCACACAAACCAGATGCAAGGCAAACACTAGGACAGCAAGTGCTGGTTCCGCAGAGCCTGAGGACCGGGGAACACAGGAGACTACCACACGATGTGCCCACACATCACTTCTCGCAGGTGGATCTGCATACTGTTCCCTTTGTGTCAGATTCAAATTCTGCTTCTTGGGGCCCAGTGTGATAGCGTAATGGTTAAGATTCTAGCCTTGAACGCACTGGGAACCCATATGGGCGCCAGCTGTAATCCCAGCAGCCCCCACTTCCCATCCAGCTCCCTGCTTGTGGCATGGGAAAGCAGTCGAGGACGGCCCAAAGCCTTGGGACCCTGCACTCATGTGGGAGACCCGGAAGACCTCCTGGCTCTCGGCTTCATATCAGCGCAGCACCAGCCGTTGCAGACGCTTGGGGAGTGAACCATTGGACAGAATATCTTCCTCTCTGTCTCTCCTCCTCTCTATACATCTGCCTTTCCAATAAAATAAATAATAATAAAATCAAATTCTGTTTTTTGGAACTTTAAGCGATTTAATAATACAAATACTTTCAATCTGCAGTTGGATGAATCTGTAAATGCAGAATCTAGGGATATATAAGTTTGACGAAACAAAGACAGACATATGGACAGTGATGTAAAAAAACAAGATACATCAGTCATCCAAGTCTGAAAAAAGGAAATTTAAGTGTTTATCAGAACTGAAAAACAAGTCAGACTCGTACTGACGCACAGGAGAGGACTTGGAAGACACACACACACACACACACACACACACACACACATACACACACACACACGTTAGGGCCCTGTTTGCCTCCGTGAAGAACAGCGAAGGTGGATTTTCAGTGTCATGCTCCAATTACTTACATATTACTGAAAATCCTGCAATAAAGACATACTTTTCTGCATGACAAAAATAAGGAGCCAAAATAAGAAGAGAAAATCGAGTTTGAATATAACGAAAATAGTCAAGTTTCCATAATTTTCCAGAGCTTTCTCAGAGTCTGTCAGCTGCACTGGGCTTTACGAGTTTCCAGGGAGAAGCTACACTTCCGCTCTCGTCCCTTTTGCACATCCTCATTACCCCACCCCGTCTCTGTGCCAGGTGATTGTTTCAAAGGCTTCAGACCCAGCTGAGTTTTCTGACGGTACATTCAGACTTGATAACTGATTGCTAAGCTGGGAAGAGGGGACAGAGGCCAGGAGGACCACCACAGGGCCAGGGAGACCTTGAAGACTTTGATCTGGCAGCTGGCTGAGTGCAAGTGCTCCGTGTACTCCCCGTTCTCGTTCTCCTTGAAGGTGTCGATCTGGACGCGGAAGGGCACGCCCTTTTCCCCGCCGTGTTTCCGCATGGTGAACTCCGTGCTGATGCAGTGCACCTGAAACAAGCATAGTGCGGCGTCACGCCTGCCCGCAGCAGGATTCCTGAAGCAGATCGCTAACAGCCATCGCAAGGACAGCTGCGACAACCTTCCCTCTCTTGCATCCTCAAAGACTTCGTCTAATGGAGGAAATGAGGAAAAAGCAAACGCTTCTCGGCCTTTCGGCTAAGATCAAGTGTGCAAATACAAGGTAAATGTACAGAGTTTATACTAACTAAAGCTACCCTGAAACAACTAGATCCATTATTGCTTCACAGAATAAACTAACAAAGAAGAGGGATGATTTCTGCTAATAGTGCTTCCTTGATCTAAAGGTAGAATTCAGAAACCATAGGTACCATTCATGCTGGGAAAATAAAAAAAAATTGAAATTAAGGTCGGCATCGTGGCATAGAAGGTAAAGCCTACGACAACATTCCATATGGGTGCTGTTTCCTGCCCTGGCTGTCGGTCTAGCATCCTGCTAACGGACTGGGAAAGCCCTAGAAGACAGCCCAAATGTCTAGGTCCCTGCAACCCTGTGAGAGACCCACATATGATCCTGGCTTCAGGCTGATGCTGCACTGGCCAGTGTATCTAACTGCACAGTCAACTGGCAGATGGAAGAGCTTTCTTTTGCTTCTCCTGCTTCTGTAACTCTTTCAAAATAAAAAAAAAAAAATGAATTTTCAAAAACAATAACAAATTTGAAAAATCTCAGCGATAGGAGAGAAAAAGATTTGCTTGGCCCCTTGCAGGAAGTCTAATGCTAGCAAATCTCCTTTTAAGCAGTAAAAACAGGTTTCATTCAGGATTATTGCAATAGTAGCAAGGAGATCTCAGTACAGATAACTGGGTTCCATTCTGAATACAGCATGGACAAACAGAGTCTTACAGCCACGCAGCAGGACCAAGTTCAGTGGTGAAAGATTGCTAAGGAGGAGGACGAGGGTCAGGGTCACACTGAAGGGGGGAGGGCTGGCCAGCCTTCATGCATGCAAGTGAAGTGTGCTAACATATCCATGCTTGCTACATGATGAGTGATGGCGAGCGCCTACGCTCCCCTGCTCCCTGAGCCACGCAGGTCCCAACGGGAGCCTGATGGAAATTTGATAAGAGAACAATCTTTGTCATTATATTGTAAAACCAGCAAAACTGTGGCATCATTTGAAATAAAATGGCAGAGAACTAAGAAAAAGGAGTTAAACGGAACACTTTGAGAATAGATATTTTGAGGTTTCTAAAAGCAAAAAATAAAACAAAAACCTAACGATCGTCTCACTAGAAATGAAGAGACAACTGGAGAATGCTACAATTTTTACATTTCTAAACAAGGAAAACAACAATCACTCTAACCCAAAAGCAAAAAATATTCTCGAACACCTCTTCCTTTAAAAACAAAAGCAAAAAAGCCCTGAGGAATCGGACCAACATGGGAAAAACCTACTGTTAACTGTCACCAGCTGTAAGAAGCCTGTTTCTGCTAACAACCTTATAAGAAACTGATGCTAAGCTTGTTCAATGGAGGAGCTTTCTCTCTGTCTCTCCTTCTCTCAGTATATCTGCCTTTCCAATAAACATAATCTTAAAAAAAGGAAAAAGACTGATGATACTTAATCCAATTTCAGCCTGGGTAAAACACTATTCCTGTTCTATAGGATCAGCATTGAGCCCTCAAATCATGTCCACAAATTGTTGACTTAACAAAGTGATCATCTCAAGTGATATATTCAATACTCTATAAATCATTACATTACAAATAAAGAATTTTCAAGCAATCTGCTCAAAGAATATCTTCAGATATGCCCAGCAAGTTTTAACTGAGGTTTTCAAAACAACTTCGTGGAGACTAAAGAAAAATGGGGACAATCTAAATGCTCTCTACGATATCATATGCAGAATGACAGATTATACAGTCATTAGTCGGCATTTTGGAGAGACACAACTAAACAGAAAAATGGAAGAGCAATTCAGAAACTTGTGGGTGCCTGGTGCAGGTGGAGAATCTGGATCAACAGCTGGACTCAACAGCTGGAGTCCTGTGGAGATTTCACAGCTGAGGTCAGTGCAGCGGGTCGACAGGCTAATCCTGCACCCCCAAGTGCTCACATCCCACAGGGGTGCTGGTTCTAATCCCGGCAGCCCCACTTCCCATCCAGCTCCCTGCCTGTGGCCTGGGAAAGCAGTCGAGGATGGCCCAAAGCCTTGGGACCCTGCACCTACGTGAGAGACCCGGAAGAGGCTCCTGCCTCCTTGATCTTGGTTTTGGATGGACTCAACCCTGGCCACTGCAGCCACTTGGGAACTGAAACAGCACATAGAAGATCCTTCCTTCTGTTTCTCCTTCTCTCTGTAGATCTGCCCTTCCAATAAAAATAAATAAATCTTTAAAAACTGTTTAAAGTCACCATGTTCTAGCCTTTCTGAAGCACTGGTTCTTAGCGGCGCTCTTCATCATGGTAGCGTGGGGCCTTACCTGAATAAACACGGACGTCCTCTTTGCAGGATCCCACAGGAATTCGACTGTATTTAGCTGGTTGGGATTGGCCCTAGGATCGATTATCCCCACAGACATTGGGATATCTAAGAAACAAAATGGTTATCAGTGAACAACTCTGAGAGCTCCCTGGTTTTAAGTTAGAAAGCACTGATTCTTACACCACTTGTCCCTCGTTACCAAAGCTCTCCGTATCACGTCCTACATCTTTGTGTGCCACGGAAAGGGGTTTCATTAGGGTTATAACTTACTTAAGGCACCAGCCTGTGGCACAGTGGGTAATGTCACTGCCTGCACTGCCAACATCCCATGGGGGCATCAGTTTATATCTCAACTGCTCTTCTTCTGATCCAGCCCCCTATTAATGGACTGGGAAAAGCAGTGGAGAGAGATGGTCCAAGTGTCTGGACTCTTGCTACCTACAAGGGAGAACAAAGCTGCTGGCTTTGGCAGGGTCCAAAACCGGCTTTGGCAGCCATCTACAGAATGAGTCAGCAAAGATCTCTATGTGTGACTCACTCAAATAAAGAAATAAATCTTTTTTTTTAATCTACTGGTTCACTCCCCAAGTGGCCGCAATAGCAAGAACTGAGCTGATCTGAAGCCAGGAGCTAGGAGCCTTCTCTTGGTCTCCCACACAGGTGCAAGGTCCCAAGGCTTTGGGCCTTCCTCTACTGCTTTCCCAAGTCATAAACAGAGAGCTAGAAGGGAAGTGGTACAACCGGGACATGAACCAGCACCCATATGGGATGTCAGTGCATGCAAGGCGAGGACCCTAGCTCTAGACTACCACACATAGGACTTGAAATACATAAATCTTTTTAAAAAATTAATTGACTTCAGTACCTTCCTTCTGATGATCATTTTAAGAAGTTCTTCGCATTTCTGTTTTGTTTTGAGAAGCAAAGAGACAAAGAGAGCCATCTCCTTTCTATTGGTAAACTGCCCAAATGCCTGGGGGCCAGGAATTCAACCCAGGTCTCCCAAGTGGGTGACCAAAGCAGGGCCACAACTGATGTGCCCAACACACACCCCCAAAATACTTCACATTACAGCAAGTCAGGAGTAGACATTTGTTCCAGCGGCTAAGACACTAGTTAAGATAACTGATTCCTATCAGATTGACTAAGTTCTAGCTCCACTTACAATTCCAGCTTCCCTAGGATGCACACCCTGGGATGGTGGCTTAAGCACAGAAGACGTGGACTGACTTCCTGGTGTGCTCCAAAGCCAATGCAGATGTCTGGGAGGAAATGAACAAATGGGACCTTGCATGCACGCACGTGTGCACACACACACACACACACACACACACACATACTCTCTCTCTATTTCTCTCTCTCAACTAAATAAATGAAGATGTAACAGGCACTGGGCATGCTTAGGATGTCTGCTACTGCAGTGAGTCCCAGCTCCATTTCTTTTTTTTTTTTTTTTAGACTTACTCATTTTTACTTAAATGGCAGATCTACAGAGACAAGGAGACACACAGAAAGATCCTCCACCCACTAGCCCACTCTCTAAAAAGTTGCAACAACTGAGCCAAGTCAATCCAAAGACAGCAGCCAGCAACCTCCTAAGGGTCCCCCACATGGGTGCAGGCTCCTAAGGCCCTGGGCCATCCTCCACGGCCACCCCTGGCAACAAGCAGGTGAAGTGGAGCAGCCAGGTAATGAACCAGCATCCACACGGGATCCCGGTGGTCCCCCAAGGCAAGGGTTTAGCCACTGAGCCATCGTGCTGGGCCCCTAACTCCACTTCTGATGGCACTTTCACATTCGTGTGTACCCTCAGAGAAAGTAGGTGATGTCTCAAGTGATTCAATCTCATCCTCCCACACGGAAAACCCAGATGAAGCACCTGGCTCCTGGCTTTGGCCTGGCCCAGCCCAGCTTCTGCAGACATTTGAATAAACCAGGACTGGGAGACTTTGCTCTTTCCCACTGCCTTTTAAATAAAATGAAAATTAACTTCTAAAAATGTTTTATCAATTTCTTTTAAAGTAGAATATTTAATTTAAATATTTTATTTATATATATATTTAAATATATTTATTTTTATTTTCAAATAAAATCAGGCAGATTTACAGAGAGAAGGAGAAAAGTTCTTCCATTGCTGTTTCACTCCCCAAATAGCTACAAAGGCCACAAATAAGCCAATCAGGAGGCAGGAGTCTACCACGTGGGTGCAGGGGCCCAAGGACTCTCCACTGCCTTCCCAGGCCACAACAAGGGGGCTGGACTGGAAGTAGAACAGCCAGGACTCTAACCGTCACCCATATGGGAACCATGCTGCAAGGTGGGGAATTAGTTTGTTGAGCCACCATGTCAGTCCCTTAATTTCTCATAAATTTTAAAGATTTTGTTTACTTGAAAGGCATAGCAACAGACAGAAACAGAGGGAGACTCGCAGAGAGAAGACAGTCCACGAGTGCACTCCCTACGTGACTGTCATGACTTGAGCTCAGCCAGGCTAAAGCCAAGGGCCAGAAGTTCCACCTGGGTCTCCCACACGGCCATCCTCTGACGCCTTCCCGGGTGCACCACATGGAAGCCAGGTCAGAAGCAAGGTAGCATGCCCTGAACCAGTGTTCTGACACAGGATGCCAGCAATGAGGACCACAGCTTGCCTTGCTGCTCCACAAAAAAAAAAAAAAACTAACCCCAAAACAGGGCAATTAAAAGGCATTTTCCTTTAATTTGCCAAAAATTTTTCTTAAAGATAAGACAACACACCAATTCTGTAATTCTTTAATTTTCAATGTGAAAATTATAACTTTCAATGTTTCACTGATAAACAACTGCTGCTAGAGATACAGGAGAGAAAGAAGAGAACTGGAAACACCTGTCCCCCGCTCCTTCCTCCGTACCCTCCCCAGCAGAATCCGGGACCCACATAGACAGACATCCTTCTCAACTATGTAAACACTCAAACTAAAATATTTTTTTAAAAAGATTACTGCTAGAAGCGCATTAACATGACTGTCATTGAAAAGCAAGGCAAAATGAATAAACAATGGCAGAAAGCATCACACCACGGATGCATGTTGGAAAGACGTAACACAAGGAGCAAGTCCAACTCACCAAATCCCCAAATAAGCAAATTTATAACAAAATCACAAATCTTACACTGAAGAGGGCAACAGAAATTAATGGGTTCCGGAATTTCATTTTAAATTCCACAAGGCAGAGACATTCAAATTCTATTCCCTGACCTTTATTTATAGTCAGACTGGGTAAGTAAGGCTAGCTAGTATTATTTATCTAATAACTGTCCTATCTACACTATTGCTCTGTTGTTATAAATGAGTCAGACAAGAAAGCATTAGGTGGGTCCTGCTTCACAGTACGAATTGTGCTTTCTCAGGTAAAGCGAGAACTTAAATTTAGCCAGGGGAGTCATTTGGGCTAATGGGACCGCTGGACTCATACCACAGTGCCTGGGTTCGAGTCCCGGCTCTCCCTCAAGCCTAGCTTCCTGATAACGTGTGCTCTGAGAAGAAGCGGTGGTGGCTCCACCCACACGGGAGCCCGGACAGAGCCACTGTCTCAGCTTCAGGCAGGTCCAAACCCATGTCTGGGAAATGGACAAGTTCACGGACACTCTCTGTATCTTTCTCTCTTTTACCTCAAATAATTTAACAACTAAGTATGAATAAATATTTAACTACAAACGACCACTAAGAGATATTGATCAATAGAAAATGAAAGATACAGATGTCAGGAAAGGTATGTCCAGAAAAATTATTTCTTGTGCATTTGTCAAGATCCTTTCCTTATATACCCCATGATTTATGGAAACTGTATTCTGTGCAATGAAACAGGAGAGAAAGCCTGAACCACAGCCAAAGAGGTGCAAATCCTAATCCCCAAGTCCTCTTTAGATAAGATCCAGAAACTTTCAGCATGCTGGGAGAAAAAACTTGGCTCTCTTTATACACCACTCAAGACAAAATAATGAGGCACTGAAAAGTCAAAATGATGCTGAAAAACAACCATGTTAGAGGCCTCGAGCTTTCTGACTTCAAAGCTTCCTACCAAAGTTACACTTACCAAAACAGCATGGTACAGGTATAGACACACATACAGATACAGCCAATGGAATACAACAGAAAGGACAGAACCAAATCCTCAAATGCAAGGTCAAAAGAGGGGCTGGCCCTGTGACAAAGTGGGTTAAACCTGCTATCTTCTGGCTGCTCCACTTCATTTTATTGTACTTTTACTTTTGATGAAGTTTATATAGTTGATAAGGGTGGGAAGGGTCAAGCATTAGGGATGAATAAACATTTTTCCAAAGAAACACGAATGACTAAAAGCAATATGAAAAGACACTCAATCTTACCAAATGCCAACAGAAAAGCAAACAAGAATCATAACATGATACCACTTCACACCCACAGGTATAGTTATTATAAAAAAACAAAGCAAACAGGGCCTGGCACAATAGCCTAGTGGCTAAAGTCCTCGCCTTGAACACGCACCAGGATCCCATATGGGCACTGGTTCTAACCTTGGTGGCGCCACTTCCCATCCAGCTCCCTGCTTGTGGCCTGGGAAAGCAGTCGAGGACGGCCCAAAGTCTTGGGACCCTGCACCCATGTGGGATACCTGGAGTAAGTTCTTGGCTCCTGGTTTCGGGTTGGGACAGCACTGGTCGTTGCAGTCACTTGGGGATTAAATCATTGGACGGAAGATCTTCCTCTCTATCTTTCCTCCTCTCTGTATATCTGACTTTGCAATAAAAATCAATATAAATCTTTAAAAAAAAAATGGACAAATACTGTATGCCTTCATTTTTATGAGGTACCCAGGGTAGCAGATTCACAAAGCACAAAGTACAACAATGGTTACTAAGGACTGGGGAGGTGAGGAAACAAAGTTACTGTTTAATGGATTTCTGTTCTGTAAGACATTAAAAAGCAAAATAAAATCACTGTGAGGTATCAAACGAAATTGCTATGGAAGTGAAGTTGTCCATACTTCCCACTTTAATTTTTATTTCATCACACAAACAATCTTTCATGCTTGATAAATAAAATGTTCATGACAGCTGAGTCTAAAGCATATGAATGAAAGCAAATGTCAAGTAAAAAAAAAATGGGCCTGGCGCTGTGGCCTAGCAGCTAAAGTCCTCGCCTTGAACGTGCCAGGATCCCATATGGGCACCAGTTCTAATTCCGGCAGCTCCACTTTCCATCCAGCTCCTGCTTGTGGCCTGGGAAAGCAGTCGAGGACGGCCCAAAGCTTTGGGATCCTGCACGCGTGTGGGAGACCTGGAAGACCTCCTGGCTTTGGATTGGCTCAGCTCCAGTCATTGCACTCACTTGGGGAGTGAATCATCAGGTGGAAGATCTTCCACTCTGTCTCTCCTCCTCTCTGTATACCTGACTTTGTAATAAAAATAAATAAATAAGAAAAGAAAGAGAGAGAGAAAGAGAAACAAACAAACAGAGGAAGGAAGGAAGGGAGGGAGGGAGAGAGAGAGCAAGAGAGAGAGAGAGTGAGAGAAAGAAAGAAAGAAAGAAAGAAAGAAAGAAAGAAAGAAAGAAAGAAAGAAAGAAAGAAAGAAAGAAAGAAAGAAAGAAAGGAAGGAAGGAAGGAAGGAAGGAAGGAAGGAAGGAAGGAAGGAAGGAAGGAAGGAAGGAAGGAAGGAAGAAATACAACTTGCGGCCCACAGTGAAAGCCATTTCTGCGCAAGGGTTCTCGGAACTCACCTATGTCGAGAATTCTGTCTCCAGGTCGGTTCCACCGCCAGCCCTCCAGCTGCTGGTGCTCGGTGTACTGCAGCCTTCTGTCATGGAACACGACACGGAATATGCTCTGGGAGGAAACCACAACATCAGAGGACGGCTGATAAAGCCAAGCCGGCAGGTGTCATCACCAGCTGATTGCCAGCCTACTGCCCTTTTAACCCACAGCCTAGCAAGCTCTATTTCAGGACAAAGTTTATCATTTCTCAGGTTTAATCTTTCAGTGAACTGAAGATTCGGTTTTGCATGTTTCGTTCACAGTCATAGGACTGCCTCGTGGTAGGCAGGTCAGCAGGCACGGGTGCATGTCTCTTCACGGCACGCAGCATCCAGCCCCGCTCTGCAGTTGCTACCTGGAGACATGGAGGGGAGGCAGGCTCCCCTTCCAACAACTTTCCTTTTGTCACCCTGACTTCATGGACCAGCCTGGGAACTTCTTTCACAGAGGCGACTGAAACTCCTGTTCCTTTCTGGGTGGATTGTCAAAACCCTTATCATCTCCAGACAAGGAGAAGCGATACCCGTCGGCAGGCACTTCTGTTTTCCTCTGCAGAAGACGGAGGATGCAGACATGGGGACTCCTCCAAAGATCTCAAGGAGGCTGCTGTACCCTCCCCGCAGCACCTCACTGAGCCAGGGCACTACCCGGCTAAGGGAAGCCTTCTGGATTCAGCAAGCAGCTCTGAAAACTCCATGTAAACAGGTTTACTCTGACCACACCAAGAAGTAACACATCAACTTATTCTGTCAGCAAATTGTGACAATAAGGAAGCCTCACCAAGCCCTTCATGGAAGCCAAAAATTTTTTTTTTAATTTTTTTATTGAAAATATTTTTTTAATTTTTTTTTAATTGAAAAGGCAGATATACAGAGAGGAGGAGAGACAGAGAGGAACATCTTCTGTTCAATGGTTCACTCCTCAAGTGGCTACAACGGCTGGAGCTGAGCCAATCCGAAGCCAGGAGCCAGGAGCTCTTCTGGGTCTCCCGCACGGGTGCAGGGTCCCAAGGCCTTGGGTCATCCTCAACTGCTTTCTCAGACCACAAGCAGGGAGTTGGATGGGAAGTGGGGCTGCCAGGATTAGAACCAGAGCCCATATGGGATCCTGGCGCGTGTAAGGCAAGGACTTTAACCACAATGCTATCGCGCCAGGCCCAAAAACTTTTTTTTAATTAGGAAAAACTTTAAAAAGTATGAGCATTTAGCCTGCTGACTAAGATGCTGGGTGAGATGCCTGCAGCCCCAGCAGAGCGTCTGGGTTTGATTCCCAGCTCCTGCTCAGGCTCCCTGCTAAGGCAAACTCAGGGAGGCAGCAGAGATGGCTCGAGGAATTCAAAGTTCCTCCACTGAGATTCCAGCTCCCAACTTTGGCACAACACAATCCCACGCAGCCACTGTGAACATCTGACGGCCGGACCAGCAAACAGAAACACATATACTCTAGGTCACTCTGTCCTTCAAATAATTTTTTTTTTTTCAAATAATTAAACACACACACACACACATACACACCAAAAAAAAAAAAAAATCACTCAGGGCCAGTGACATGGTTCAACCAGCTAATCCTCTCCCTCCAAGCACCAGGATCCCATACGGGTGCCAGTTTGTATCCTCGCTGCTCCACTTCCCATCCAACTCCCTGCTTGAGGCCTGGGGAAGCAGTTGAGGACGGCCCAAAGCCTTGGGACCCTGCACCCGCGTGGGAGACGTGGAACAACCTCCTGGCTCTTGGCTTTGGATTGGTTCAGCTCCAACTGTTGTAGCCACTTGGGGAGTGAACCAACGGAGAGATCCTTGTCTCTCCTTCTGTCTATAAATCTACCTTTCCAATAAGAATAAATAGAAATTTATAAATGAAATAAATTTTAAAAAGTAAAAGTACACACAACACATACACATATATATGGTCACTAAACGCTACAAAGAATGATTTTCTTATTTTCTTTTACCTTAACCAATTTGCCATTAATTTCTGGAAGTTCTCCAAGTTTCCTATTGTCTAGCATTCGGATTTCATAAGACTGTCCTAGAATAAAAATTACATATTATGTTAATCACAAATTGACTTTGCTATGTTTAAAAAGAACAAAATTCAGTTGTTTGAATATACTAGAATATCACATAGGTTGAGTATCTTTTACCCAAAATACTTGTGTCAAAAGAGTTTGGGATATTTGCATTATTTCCTAATTTTGTGATATCTGTATATACGAAATGAGATAACACAAAGATCAGAACCAAATGTGAACATGAAATTAATTTCTTCCATATGCATCATGTATATAGATAATAAAGATAATAATTATACAATTTTTATGTGCCTTCATTTTTACCTCAATCTATCATATAAGGCCAGATGTGGAATTTTCACCTGCGATATCATGTTAGCACATAAAAAGTTTAGGATATCGGAGCATTTAGGGTTTGGGATTCTTGGATCAAGTATATCCTGCCTGTAATACTATTCATATTCGTAGGAATAAGAAAACAAAATAACACTAGTAGGAACAACTAATAAACCATTATTAGATCTCAAGCACTGTGATAAACATTCAAAAAGTCCAAGGAAAATGCATATTACTTAAAAATCCTTGCATCTTACTTCAAAATGTTTTTGCTGAAATCAATGTATCTACCCTGGGCATTTGGTCTAGCAGTTAAGACAGTTGTCACATGGAACACATTCCACATCAGAGTATCCAGGGTCCAAGCTGTGGCTGCAGCTCCCCCTGCCCCGGCTCTCTGCAGGAACTGAGGGCAGCAGGTGATGGATTGGGTAGCTGCGTCTCTGTCACCCACGGGGGAAACTCGGGCTGAATTCTTGGGTCCCTTCATCCCCTCCCCAGTGGGAGGGGCAGGTGGGTAAAGACCCACTGAGGACAGCTAGGGAAGGAATAAGCCAATGGGAGCTCTCTGTTTCTCAAAAGATTAATTTTTAGAATAAACATTTTAATTCCACTTCCCATGAAACTTTTGCATCTAAGCACATGACTTCATTTCACTGATAAAACTCTTCAAAGTTTCAGCAACTCAATAAAGAAAAGTTCACGCCACTTGTTCAAGGACACACGCTGGTAAAAAACCAAAGCCAGCTGGAATCATACTTCTCAGTCCCCAGAGAACGTCCAGGGAACATGGACAGGGTGGCAATTAGACAAAAGAAGGCCAAAACATAATTCTAATGTGACAAGGCTTGAATTTTACCCTCTGAAGCAAAGCATGCATTCTGACAGGTTACCCCAGAAAGCACCCAATAGCCTAGCCGCTGCGATGATAACCAGGCAGCACCTGACCTTGATTGAGATACGTCAGGGTTTCATCATGGAGCTTCACCGCAGGAGAGGTGGCAGCACAGAGCACGTACTGAAAAGGCAGGATTTTATTCTCATTATCAGGAGGCAAACTTGACTCTTCTTGTTTAAAAATGGGCAATGCGAGGACATCACTAAAACAGAACAAACAAATGGCTCACATTAACACCGGCTATGGGGCAAGAGTTGATTGACTGCTGAAACTTGCTGTCACTTGCACTGAGACGCTGTAACCCTGGCTCATGTGGCGGAGCTGTTTTCCCAACCACACAGCTGACAGTACCTGCTGTGGCATCCTCCCCACCCAGACAACACAGCATGACAGGCACTCACTTCTAACCCCCGGGGGGCTGCAGTGTTCCACCATCCACAGAGTTCCCAAACGTAGGTCCGGGTCACTCCAGTATCTGTTTACTAGAAAATACTACCTATAGTACTCTGCAACCAAGTCCGTTTATCTTCAAGAATCAGAAAGACTATGACAACTAGAATTCCTTAGAGGTCACATAAAAGAATAAATCGAAGGCCAGTGTATCAGAGGGTCTCCCACAAGTTCACGAAGGAAGATAAACTATTCATGCATTTCAATTCTTCCGCATCAAAAGAAACTTAACTTGTAATTACATCTGCCCACAGCCCTTTCAAAGTACCCTCAGCTACTCTGAGGTCATCTCACCTTCTGTGGATTGCAAATTCAGCTGTCCCTATCAGCTACTTCTCCAAAACAGTTTTTCTTACCCCTACCAGCTCATCTAAATTTGCACCCAGCAACTTCCAGCACGCTCGTCATGCCGGGATGCTAGCGAGAGAGAACTGCACCAGGTCAGAAGTACCAAGTTTCCAAGGCTGAAACCTGGAGCAAGTTTTGAGCAAGCTCTCATGAATGTTTAATCCTTCATCTATAAAACAGAAACTGCATTTATTGGTTAACATACTGAGAAAGCATTTTGGGAAACATGAGGTGCTAAAATAAATATAAAGAATTAACAGTAATTTTCTCTCATTATCCTTTAGCCACGGAGGAGGATATCCTAAGCACCGGAGAAAGTGACCTGACCAGCATCCACTCCAAACTTTTTTTTTTAATCTATTTTTATTGGAAAGTCAGATATACAGAGAGGAGGAGAGACAGAGAGGAAGATCTTCCATCCGATGGTTCGCTCCCCAAGCAGCCGCAACGATTAGAGCTGAGCCAATCCGAAACCAGGAGCCAGGAGCCTCCTCCAGGTCCCCCACGCGGGTGCAGGGTCCCAAAGCTTTGGGCCGTCCTCGACTGCTTTCCCAGGCCACAGGCAGGGAGCTGGATGGGAAGTGAATACAAACTGACAATCAAATGAGATCCTGGCACTTGAAGGTGGAGGATTAGCCAATGGAACCATCACACCAGGTCCCTAATTTCAACTTTCCTCAAAGAACATGTACACATACTCACTCATCAACAGTTAAAAAGCCAGACAATCCAACTGTCGACATGAAGTAATCAGATTCTCACATTTGCCAATGGGAACATGAAATAAGCAAACCTGCTTTACAGGATAGCTGCAATGGGCAGGTTCCATGCATGGTAGACTAAATGTCCACTTGCAGTGAAGGCATCCCTACAGGCAGTGGTTCAAGTCCCAGCTGCTGTACTTCCCATCCAACTCCCTGCTTACGGCCTGGGAAAGCAGCAGAAGATGGCTCAAGTCCCGGAGCCGCTGCCACCCACATGGGAGACCCAGCTTGTGGCTCCTAGCTCCCAGCTGCACTTAGCTGCAGCCATTGTGGCCACCTGCAGAGTGAACCAACAGATGGAGGACCTCTTTCTCTATCCTCTCTGTAACTCTGCCTTTCAAATAAAGATAAATCTTTTTTAAAAATGGTTGCCATTTGGGGCCTGGCACGGTGGCGCAAGTGGTTAAGGTCCTCGCCTTGCACGCCCGGGATCCCATATGGGCGCCGGTTCTAATCCCGGCAGCCCTGCTTCCCATCCAGCTCCCTGCTTGTGGCCCGGGAAAGCAGTCAAGGACGGACCAAAGCTTTGGGACCCTGCACCCGCGTGGGGGACCTGGAGGAGGCTCCTGGCTCCTGGTTTCGGATTGACTCAGCTCTAATCGTTGCGACTGCTTGGGGAGTGAACCATTGGATGGAAGATCTTCCTCTCTGTCTTTCCTCTCTGTATATCCACCTTTCCAATAAAAATAAGACAAATCTTTAAAAAAAAAATGGTTGCCATATAGTTGTCAAAATAAAACATTCTTTAAAACATTCTTCTGAATATAGAAAAAAAGAAAAAGGTTGCTGGCAGCTGGGCAGGCAGCACTGCGACACAGTAGGAAAAATCACCACACTCTGGGCCCAGCGCCATGGCCTAACAGCTTCAAGTCCTCACCTTGAACGCACCGGGATCCCATATGGGCACCAGTTCTAATCCCGGCAGCTCCGCTTCCCATTCAGGCCACTGCTTGTGGCCTGAGAAAGCAGTCGAGGACAACTCAATGCTTTGGGACCCTGCACCCGCGTGGGATACCCGGAGGAAGTTCCTGTCTCCTGATCGGCACAGCACTGGCCGTTGCAGCCAGTTGGGGAGTGAATCATCAGACGGAAGTTCGTCCTCTCTCTATATCTGACTTTGTAATAAAAAGAAATAAATTTTTAAAAGTAAATCACCACCTGTGATGTAGGTATAAGCGCATCTGGCTTAAGTCCCAGAGGCTCCACTTCTGATGGAAGATATCGCTGTCTCCCCCTCTCCATAACTCTTTCAAGTAAATTTATCTTTTTATTGTTTTTTACAAAAAATTTTTATAAGAAAAACGCACAAATCCTTTGAGCTAGCAATTACACTCAAAAGTATCTATCCAAGAAAAATGAAAATACAAGTCCATTCAAAGATTTATAAGTCAATGTTTATAACAGAAGAGCAAAAACTGGAAAGGAATTTTGGAGTGAATGCAAAAAAACATGACACATTCAACAGATTCAGCGAAACGAACACAGATGCATCCCACTGATGCGATACTGAATGAAAAGGCCAGGCATAAACACTGCATACTGTCTGATGCCATTTTTGGTTAATGAATATCTGACCCATGGGCCATTAAGGCTACCAAAATAATTTGATCTGGCCCTGCCAAGACAGTCATAGGCAGGACCTGAAATTCAACAAATCTACAGGAGGTTTGTTTAAAGAGTTATTTATTTGAAAGACAGATTTACTAAGAAAGAGACAGCGAGATATTCCATCTGCTGGTTTATTCCCCGAATAATTTTCGCTAGACTAGAATTAGGAGCCAGGAGCATCTTTCAGTTCTCCCATATGGGCAGCAGGGGCCCAGACACTTGGGCCACCTTCTGCTGCTTTTCCCAAGCCATTAGCAGGGACCTGGATCAGAAGTGGAGCAGCCTGGACTTGAGCCAGTGCCCAAACATGATGCCAGTACGCAGGTGACGGCTTTATCCACTACACCACAATGCCAGCTAATTTTTAACTTAATAATTTTGTATGGCCCAGGACTAATGTTATAAATATCCAAATGGGCTTTGGCAGAAAAGCAAAACTGAAGAGAACAGCGGTTTCCTTGCTAAGCAGGCATAAACTTAGAAGGTATAAGAGAGAACTCTGTGGGAAGTTTGAAAAGTTCTGTGCTACCATATCAAGACAGTAACTGCATAGTGACATTTGTACATTTCAGTGAGTGCATATGAATTTTATTTTAAAAAGGGGAATTGAATAGAGATTGAAGGATGGGTGGAGATACAAATGATAAAATGGTAGCAGCCCATTACAGATGTTTAAAGCATGGGCGCTCATTACATTATTCTGTTTATTTTGCATATACTTGCAATTTCCTATACTAGCTTCCTTGTTAAAAAAAAAAAAATGTTTAAATCATAGGGTGCTTGTGGGTATAGGAAAAGGGACCAGGATACAGAAAATAATTCAAAAAGGTTAAAGCCAGAGCTCTGGTGATTCTTGCCAATATTCCCCACATACAAAATACAATCACTCAGACCTTTACCTGTAATATCATGTTTATTAAACAAAGAGCTCAAAGCTTTAGTATCAAAGATGAAAATATATCCCTTAAATGTGCCTATATACGTACAGCAGCAATACACATACATTCTCCCCAGGATGCTGGAACAGGCAAGACCACTATTCATTAGAAAAACTGACTTCAGACGGCAGTATAAATTCATAGTGAAAAAGAAAAGAAAATGTTCTGACTATTGATCCAACATAAACAGGTGTAACATAGAGGCACAAACACAACAGCAGGCAAAGAAAATGAAAAATGGGCGGGGCAGGAGAGGAGAGAAAATGTTTTCTTTCTGTTGATGTCTAAATAGCATGCTATTAGTTGAATTCAGTTGGCCTAGATACAACGATTTTTAACAGACACAGGTTTAGAAAATAAAGCAAAAGACCAAAAAACCCTGAGGCACAGCTGTAGCCTCTGCGAGATTTGGTGATTCCTTGGAAGCTCAGTTACTAAGAGTCAGGGCAGGGGGAGCACAGGAACGCAGGGCGGTACCCTTCCTTCTCAGCTGTCAGTGCCACACGAGGTTACCACACAGCCTTTGTTCCCAGTCTTTGGGTTTCAGCTGTCATCACGTACGGCCCAATGGTAGGTGAAGATGGTCATGGGGCCGAAACTGAAACTGATTCTATGATGAATCGAAAACAGTAAAGCCAAATCAAACACACAAAGTATATTCCCTCATCAGCGAATTCAAGATCTACGAACCCCAAATGAACTTAAATTATTCGTGCTCTTGTTACACTGAATTTTTTTCATGTGAGCGAAAAGGAGCATTCAGTAGCACCTTTCCAAAGTGGAATGTGTGTCTGCCTAAACAAAAATACTCAGCAAGAGACGGTTCTCAAAAAGGGCTCTCAGGGCCCCGGCGCACACCCGGGATCCCATATGGGCGCCGGTTCTAATTCCGGCAGCCCCGCTTCCCATCCAGCTCCCTGCCTGTGGCCTGGGAAAGCAGTCGAGGACGGCCCAAAGCCTTGGGACCCTGCACCCGCGTGGGGGACCTGGAGGAGGCTCCTGGCTCCTGGTTTCGGATTGGCTCAGCTCTAATCGTTGCGGCTGCTTGGGGAGTGAACCATTGGATGGAAGATCTTCCTCTCTGTCTCTCCTCT